TGCGCGGTCAGGGCACTGCCCCATCCCCACGCTTCTCTCTTTCCCTTTCTTATCCAGCCCCCCCTCAATCCTTTCGGTGTTTCCGGGTTAGGAATAATCGAGCATCGCTACATACCCAGAACTCGGTCCCCGCGCTCTACGGCGAGTGCCAACAATGCTCATGAACTTCGAGGATTTGCTCGTCCATGAGTTCGGTTCGGAACCGGCATTGCTTGATCACCGGGTGTCGCCTTGCCAATTCTCCCTCTCAGACCTCATCAGCAAGAAGCGGCACTGCGGTCGCCTTCAAAAGCGCGGCTCTGGCAGACGTTCGGACTACATTGAGAGACTTTCAGGAGCAGGACTCTCACAAACCGGAAGTCCTTGATAGTTCTCAATTCCTCGCTTCGCGTGTTCTTAATACCTAACTGGCGAGTTAATCCCGAATGTGGCCGATCTTTCGGTAGAATTTGTTCATTATGATCCGAATAGCCCGACAGCGTGGAAGAGCTTTCGTAATCTGACGGCGTGATCCGGGAAAAGAGCATTCCAGTGGCGAGCAAGGGCCTCTTGAAACCATCTGCCGTCACACAGCAGGTGCAGCAGCAAATTCCATTCAGATTCACCGTGGACACGCACACGCGTTGCTGGAAGCACTACAAAGTCCGACCACCAACGAACAGCAAGCATCCAGGGCATACAAATGCGGATTTTTGCATATATGATGAATTCGCCGAAATCTACGGTTACAAGGCTTGTTGAGTAACCTCTGCGGAAGCTCGCCGACCCGGACGAATATCGAGCTGTGACAGGTAAGGCGCCTACCCTAATTGTCGGATGATGGAAGCCCCTACGGTGGCCGGTTGGGCCATTCTCTCCTACCGGCTTGGTGAGTCATGCGCCGCAGGCGCCACCCCTCCCCCATCACCCGCCGCAACAGCGCCAGCGCGTTCCCGCCCGCAATCTTCCTAACATCCTCGTCCGAATAGCCACGGGCGATCAGGCCGCGGATGATGTTCTTGCCGTCGGCGGGCGACTCCAGGCCGTTCATGTAGCGCGCCGGCGTGGGGCCGGGGCGGCCCATCACCACCTCGCCCACGCCCACCGAGTCGCCGATGCCGGTGTCGGTACCGATGGCCACGTGGTCGATGCCCACCAGGTTGACCATGTAGTCGTAGTGGTCCAGCACGCACTCGATGCTCTGTTCCGGGTCGTTGCTGAACCGGTTGGGCACGGCGGTTATCCCGATGACGCCTCCCTTGCGGGCGCAGGCCAGCAGCTCCTCGTCCTTCCGCAATCGGCGGGCCTGGAAACTGTCGCTGGACAGAGTGTAGGAACCGTCGTGGCTGAAGGTCACCGGGGTTTCCGATGCCTCGATGGCGTCCATGGCGGTGCGGAACGAGGCATGGGACACGTCGAACCACCATCCCCAGCTCATTCATGCGCTGAACGACCTCCAGCCCGAACTCGCTGAGCCCGCCGTCGTTGCGCTCGAAGATGCCGTCGCCGATGTATGCCTTGCGACTGTAGGTCAGGCCGGCCAGCCGTATTCCCGCGTTGTAGAGCACGTCCACCAGGTTCAGCTCGTTGCCGATGGCCAGGTGCTCCACCGTGGGCAGGAACCCCACCTTGCCCTGCCCTTTGGCCGACTCGATCTCGGCCGCGTTGCTGACCTGGAGCACGTCGTCATGCTGTGAGATGTCCGAAATCATCATGCTGATCTCTTCCAGCAGATCGGCAAATCGGATGAAGGACATCTCGTTGGTGTGCAGCATCCCGCGAAAGACGTTGGCCGTCCCCACGGCGGTAAAGCCGCCCTCCCGTACCGCGTCGTAGCCCCAGACGTAGCGGTCGCTGCGCAGGTACTCCCAATACCGGCTGAAGTCTTCGGGCAGTACCATCGGATGCTGGTGAAGGTCGATCATAACCGACTCCTCCATCAGGCGTTGGAACCGGATTTCCTGCTGGCGGTCCAGAGGCACGGTCATGGAGGGGACACGGCCCACTTGACTAACGAGGCGAAAACGGCCCAGGGTCATGGTTCAACTCCTCCGTTCGTTCAACTCCGTTCAAGGAATCCGCGAGTGATCGGTCAGTCGGACGGGGACATGCCCTCCCGAACGGCCGGGACATCTTCGCCGGATTATACCGGGGTCGCCTTTTTCCTGCGGTGCTAGAATCAGCTCCATGACGATGCAGCCGTCAACGACAACGCCGGCAACAAAACAACCAGTCCCCAAAATGTGAGGATCAACATGGCTGAAATCTACACTCTGGGCGCCGGAACTCCCACGCCCACGCCCACTCGCTTCGGAAGTTCCCACGTGCTCAAACTCGGCGACCAGCACCTGATGTTCGACTGCGGGCCGGCCACCACGCACAAGCTGGTCAAGGCTGGACTGTTTCCCACCCAGGTCGACTACCTCTTCTTCACGCACCACCATTTCGACCATGACATCGACTATCCCTGCTTCCTCCTCTGCCGCTGGGACCAGAGCATCGGCAAGGAGAACCGGCTCCAGGTTTTCGGCCCCGACCTGACGGAGAAGATTACCGAGGGCATCCTGGGCGAAAACGGCCTGTTCGCCCACGACTGGAAGGCCAGGGTCAACCACCCCCTCAGCCAGCAGGTCTTCGTCAATCGCGGCGGCACCCTGCCCCGCCCGGCCCCATCGGTCGCCGCCCGGGACGTCGGCCCGGGCAAGGTCTTCAGCGGGCCTGACTGGGAGGTGACCGCCGCAACCGGCGAGCATGTCCAACCCTACCTGGACTCCCTGGCCTACCGGGTGGATTCCCCCGAGGGCAGCGTCATCTTCACCGGCGACACCCAGCCCTGCGACTCGGTGACGGAGTTGGCTCGCGGCGCCGACATGATGCTCTGCATGTGCTGGGATGACCAGGCGGTGATGGACGGCAACGGGGAGGCTGGCGGCCAGTGCGGCACGACCGGCGCGGCCCGAATGGCCCAGGCCGCCGGTGTGAAAAAGCTGGTGCTGGTCCACATCGGCCCCCACCTGTCCGCCCACGGCCCCATGGAGCAGGGCATTGGCGACATCAGCCGAATCTACGATGGCGAGATCGTCTTCTCCGAAGAACTCATGCGCCTTTCTTTGTGAGGGCGGCCGGGCCCGCCCGGCCGCAGCCTAATCGCCGCGGATGGCTATCATCAGCGCGAGGTACGACCTGATGATAGCCCCGTGTTCGATGTCTCAGGCGAGTGCGCCTGCCCTCCCTGCTGGAAAGCTCGGCGCATGGCAAGCTTCTCGGGTGTTCGGCCGGCATTCAGACACGACACCGACGGTGCAACACCGGATTGAGCGCAAATTCCAGCAACCGAGCGCCGAGGTCAGTCGCTGATGCCGTACACGCGCATGGCGGTGTCATGGAACAATGCCGCGCGTTCGGTGGCCGTATAACCGGCCGAAAGTCGTTTGAAAGCGTTGTAAAGAACGTTGTAAGAATAGGATGGCTTGTCTACCGGGAAGTTGCTTTCGAACATGCAGCGGTCCGGGCCAAACTGCTCGATGCAGTAGTTCATCAGCGGACCCAGCGCGCCGGCCAGTTCCTCCGACCCGATGGGCGTTTCCCGGTCGTCCCAGTGGAACCCATAGCGCAGCTGTCCGACCCCACCCAACTTGATGACGACATTGGGACACTGGGCCACCTCGGCCACTCCGCGCCGCCACGCCGGCAGCACCTCGTCATCCCGGTTCGCGTAGGGGCCGACGCGCACCAGCCCGCCGATATGGTTCAGAACGATGGTCAGTTCCGGAACCGCTCGGGCAAACTCTGCCAGTTCTGACAGCTGCGGGTGATAGAGCGAGTTCTCCAGCACCAGTCCCATGTCGGCCATCACCCGGCCTCCGGCCCGGTATCCAGGTGAGGACAAGGCTCCCTCGATGTCACGGTTCACCAACTCAGGGCTGGTGTCCCATCCCGTCGAGTGCCGGACGCCCCTGAAGCGGCCCGGGCTGGCGGCGCGCATCGCCTCCAGCACCGGACGCACCACATCGCCAAGTTTCAGGTCCGCGTGCCCGATGATGCGCCGCCGCGGCTTTGGTGGTACCGTGGCTGCCGGTGGCGCTCTCCGTCGCGATGGTCTCGATGTACTCGATCTCACCCACCGGCCGCATCTCTTCCGGCCCGCTCTGACGGTACTCGCACCGCACCTCGATGAAGACCGTGGAGCGGACGTTGTGTCCGCTGCTCACGTCCGCGGTCAGATCAGGCAGCAGGTAGCGCTGGTAGGCGGCAGGCTCCGGTCGGGCAACCCAGAAATGGTGGTGCGTATCGCAAATCGGTAGGTCCGGCTCCAGGGTTGCTTCGACGGTTTGCGCCAGCCAGTCTTCGCCTTTCAGAACCATGTCGTCCACCTCGGTGTTTTTGCTTCACCCGATACTAACACGGCCACTTTTTGGCTCGGCCAGGTGCGGAGGGCTGCGCACCGGGTTCCCCAAGTTGGAAACGCCGCGAACGGCATCGCTCTCCGTTCGGGGGATCCGTCAACGGGCAAAAGGGGCTCACGCATACCCACTTGCGTCCAATATGTCATTGCCAGCATCCTGAATATCATTGCCGGCAATTTGAACGTCATTACAATCACCCCGAAATGTCATTGCGAGCGCAGCGTGGCAATCTCGTCGCCACGGCGCAGGCCCTCGCCAGCAGCGGACGCATCGCCTCGTCGCTGCCGCGCCCTTCCATTCCCGACACCGACAATCGAATGACCCGGGAAACTCATTCTGCAACTGGGCAGGCTACCAGGGTTACTGCCATCCCCGTTGTGCCTATAATGGCCGCCAACCGAGCCGGACGTTAAGCCGGGCCAGGGTCAGGCTACAGGAGGCGATATGGCAGCTTTGAAAATAGAAGGCGTAACCCACTGGTCGATCCCGGTAAACGACCTGAACGAAGCGGAAGAGTTTTACGGCGAGCTGCTGGGTCTCACGCCCAAGGGCAGGCTCGGCAACAGCGTTATGTCGTGTTTCAACGTCGGTGACCACAACATTCTGCTGTGCGAGCGCTCCAGCCCGGTGGATGGTCTCCTCGCTGAGAACGGCGGCGCCCACCATTCATTCACGGTATCGCCCGACACCTTCAACGAGGCGTGCCGGGTGTTCCGCCAGAGGGCTATCAAAATCGACAACCTGACCTACCGGGCACAGGGGTTCTTCACCGGACGCGAGCTGTACTTCTACGACCCCAGCGGCAACCGGCTGGAGCTGCGGGACCCAACGTGGACGCAGGGGATGCCTGAGCCTTCGTTCGAGGAACTGGCAACCTCCTGAGGTTCCCATGCGACGCAAGCGCCTCGTTGATCCTGGGGCCACCCGTGGATTTGGACGAAGGCGAAAACCCCGCTACCGCGAGTCGTTAACGTTTACGGAGGAAAGATACCCATGAGCCTGGAGGACATCGAACGCCGGCTGCGCGCCCTGGAGGACGTCGAGGAGATCAAACGCCTCAAGGCCCGCTACTGCGCCTACTGCGACGACAACTATGACGCCGACAAGATCGCCAGCCTGTTCGTCGCGGACGCGATCTGGGACGGCGGCATACGGGGCAGAGCCGAAGGCAGGGAGGGCATCCGCGAATTCTTCGTCAACGCTCCCAACCGGCTGCCCTTCGCCGTGCACATGGTGATGAACCCCATCATCGAGGTGAGCGGGGACACCGCCACCGGCGTCTGGTACCTGTTCCAGCCGTGCACCTACGCCGACGGCGACCGGGCGGTATGGGGATCTGCACGATATGACGAAGAGTACGTCAGAGTGGACGGCGTCTGGATGTTCAAACACCTGAAGCTGACCTCCCACTTCTGGACCCCCTTTGACGAAGGATGGGCTCAGACGCAATTCGTGTAGGCAGGTTCAACGCAATTTCGAACCAGGCGGCGGGACGCTGCACCACGGTGGACGTGCTGTTCGGCATTGAAAATCGGATACGGCTATCTCGCGGACGGTGAAGTATGAGGACAGGGGCTGAGTACAAAGAGGCTCTGCGCGATGGGCGCGACGTTTGGGTTCTGGGCGAAGGCCCGGTGGCGGACGTCACGACCCACCCGGCGACATCCGCCATGGTGGATGAGTACGTGGCCTGGTACGACCGCCACTTTGATCCCGACTGGCAGGACGTCCTGCTGACCCCGCCGGACCCAAACGGCCAACGGCATCCCCTGGCGCTCACCCCGCCGAAGACGTCCGACGATCTGCGGCGCATGGGGAAGCAAATCAGCGCCGTGCATTTCCTCACCGGCGGCAACATGACCCACACTCCAGGCTATGGCGAACTGATTGCCCTGGGGTTGCAGAACGTGATGAAGCGGCTGGACAACTCCGCTGAGGATATTGATAAGGCTGAGGAATATCTGGAGCATATATCCACCAGCGGCCGGTTCCTGACCTACGCTGGCGGCGGCCCGCTGATCGGGACCCGGCTTCGTCCGGATGAGAGCGAGCGGGCGGCGCTTCGCTGGTCAGCGAAACCGCCGACGGCATCGTGGTGAGCGGCAAGATCCAGATGCACACCAGCACGCCCTTCGCGGAGGAGCTGCTGGTCTCCACCCGAAATGACATGCCGGCCGGCAGCGGGCGACACCTCTGGTTCGTCGTGCCGGTGAACGCCCCCGGCCTGCGGGTGGTGTCACGCCGACGGCCGCCAGACACAAGAACCGCTTCTTGTCGCCGCTGAGCGGCCGGTTTGACGAGCTCGATTCCATGGTCTGGATGGAGGACGTTTTCATCCCCGAAACCGCGTTTTCACCGGGGAGCCCCCCGACAGAAATCGGAAACAATCTTTGGTGTCCTGGATGCTTTGGCACCACAGCTACGGTTGGCTGGCCAAGGCGGAACTGACCCTCGGTCTCGGCCTGGCCCTGGCCGAAATCATGGGCTTAAAGGACAATGCGCAAACGATCGAGCAGCTGGTCGAAATGACCGTCAACGTGCAAACCACCCGCACCTGCATGACTGCGGCGGAACTGGACCCCGAAACGTCGGTCAGCGGGTATCCGTTGCCAAACCAGATCCACGTGGCCGCCGCCGGCGTCAACACCCTCAAAGTCCGCCAACGCATGGGCGAAATCCTGCGCGGCCTGCCGGGTTCGTCGCTGATCAACGCGCCGGCGGACACCGACTTCGCGGACCCTGCGATGGCCGCCGAGCTGGAAGACGCCTTCGGCGGTGGCGGTTACACCGCGATGCAACGGGCGGCGTTGCTGCAGCTGGCCTGGGACCAGGTGTCGTCGGGATTGGACGGACGGGAAGCGGCCTTCGAACTCCATGCCAGTGGCGGGCTGGAGTCATGGCGCCGGCAGTTGGCGGCCTGGTTTGATGGCTACAACGAACTTGCCAATGGCGTCCACGGACTCCTCCAGGTGGACCTGCCAGCCATGGACCTGTCCAGCCTTCAAGGGGTGCCGGCCGTGCCCAGGCGAATGCCCCAGGTGAACGCTGAGGCAGCAAATCCCTAATCCCGTCGATCCCGTTTATCCATGCAACAATAGCGCGGTGGTCGTAATGGCGGCTGCGCGTCGCCCAAATCGTGCAGGCAGGTAAATTATGGGTCAGATGGACGGAATGGTCGCAATCGTTACCGGCGCCAGCCGGGGGCTCGGGCGGGCCATAGCCAGGGCGTACGCCGGGGAAGGCGCCAGCGTCGTTATATCTGCCCGACGCCAGTCCCCAACCGGCCTGGCGGGGACCCTGGAAGAGACGGCGACCGCGATCAGGAACGCCGGCGGAGACGTACTCGCCATTGATTGCGACGTGACCGACGAGGCCCAGGTCAATGAGATGGTCCGCCAGGCGATGCAGCGTTACGGCAAGATCGACGTGCTGTTCAACAACGCCGGCGCCATGGTGCTGGGTGAGTCAATCATGGAGATCGATGCCAATCGCTGGGAGCAGCTCATGCGGGTCAACGTGACCGGCCCGTATCTCTGTAGCCGGGCCGTGCTTCCGGCGATGATGGAGCAGCGACGGGGGCAGCATCATCAACATCGGCTCCAGGATGGCCACCGACCCCAACCAGGGCGGCGGCGTCCTCTACAGCGCCAGCAAGGCGGCGGTCCACATGTTCAGCTACTGCCTGGCCGAGGAGGTGCGGGACCACAACATCGCCGTGAACATCCTGAGCCCCGGCGGACTGCGCAGCGAAGGTTCGGCCGCAATTCCATGGACACAGCGCGATTGGCACGAGCGGGTGGACCCCAGCGCCCTGGGTCCCTGCGCCGTGTACCTGGCCCTCCAGGACGCCACTACCTTCACCGGGCAACTGGCTTCCCGCTTCGATTTCGGCACCACTTGGGGCCCCGGCGTCAGGTAGCGTCCACCCCAACACCGCGCCCCTTCAAAGTCATCGCAAGCCCAGCACGGCAATCGCGGCGGGGTGGAAAGCCCGCTTGGGCTTGGATGGACGACGCCTTGCCGCCACCGGGATGCGCTGCCCTGCCCTGGCACGCTTGTTGACAGCCCCGTAGAAGGACTCTAGGCTTGCACCATCTTCGAACTTACGCTGGGGACACTGGTGAACTTATGGAGATCAAAGACCTGATCATCGATGACCGGCAGAGGGGAGTTTTCAGGGTCCACCGGTCGTCCATGACCTCCCCCGATTTGTTCCAGCGTGAACAGGAACAAATCTTCAACCGATGCTGGATCTACCTGGGGCACGAGTCAGAAGTGGAGAACCCCGGAGACTACCGGCGCCGCACGGTGGTAGGCCGGCCGCTTTTCTTTGCCCGTGGCCGCGATGGCCACGTGCGGGTGTTCCTCAATTCCTGCCCCCACCGGGGCGCATTGATCTGCCGCCGTGACGCGGGGAACGCCGACGTCCTACAGTGCTTCTATCACGCCTGGTCCTTCAACACCCATGGAGATCTGATCGGCGTCCCTGACCAGGATGCCTACGGCCCCCACTTCGACCGGGGCGAGCTTGGCCTGAAGGAACCGCCCCGTGTCGAAAGCTATCGCGGCTTTTACTTCGTGTGTTTCAACCCCTACGTCGAGGACCTCGTCACCTATCTGGCGGGCGCCAGGGACTACCTCGACCTGATCGTCGACCAATCCGAGGCCGGGATGCGAATGGTCGCCGGTTCCAACAAGTACACCATGAAAGCCAACTGGAAGCTGCTGGTCGAAAACAGCCTGGACGGTTATCACCTGGTCCCGACGCATCAAACCTACCTGGACTATATCAGCGGCCTCGGAACCGACGACAGCGGCCAAACCGCAGCATCCCGCATCGTCGGCACCGCGAAAGCCTTGGGCAATGGTCATTGCGTCATCGAGTCTCCGGTGCGGAACGGCCGCCCCATCGCCCACTGGCACCCCCTGTTCGGTGAGGAAGCCCGGGAGCCCATCACACAAACCCGCCAACGGCTCGTGGAGAAATACGGCGAGGAGCGCACCTTCCGCATGGCCGACACTTCCCGGAACCTGATCATCTATCCCAACCTGGTGATCAACGACATCATGGCCATCACCGTCAGGTACTTCGAACCCCTGGCTCCCGACCACATGGAAGTCACGGCCTGGCACCTCGTCCCCCGCGAGGAATCGGAGACCATGCTGGCCACCCGTCTGGATAGCTTCCTGACCTTCCTCGGCCCCGGCGGCTTCGCCACCCCCGATGACGTCGAAGCCCTGGAGTCCTGTCAGATCGGCTTCCGGGCCACCGAAACCGAGTGGTCCGACATCTCACGGGGTATGCTCAACCCCGCCAAATCAACCGATGAGCTCCAGATGCGGGGCTTCTGGCGGCAATGGCACGCGAACATGCAGGGCTTGAGCAAGACCAACGTGCAGGACGGCCCGGTCAGGGAAACCGAGGCTGCGCTGGCTATCGGAAATGACGACTAGCGCCCGGCTCAGCCAGGTGAACGATGACGGCAAATAGCCAGCCCACGTTGCGTGAGCAGGTGGAGGATTTCCTGTTCCGGGAAGCCGCGCTGCTTGATGACTGGCGCCTCGACGACTGGGTCGATTTGTTCACCCAGGATGCCAGATATGTGGTCCCCACCACCGACTTGCCGGACGGGGACCCCAAGCGCGACCTCGTGTTCATCGACGACGACATCACCCGTCTGCGCGCCCGCGCCGTCCGGCTGAACAGCCGCCACGCTCACCGCGAGTACCCGTGGTCGCGGACCCGTCGGTTTGTTTCCAACGTGCGCGTCGAAGAAACCGATAACGGCGAGCTCTCGGTCGCCTCAAACGTCCTGGTCTATCGGTTCCGCGCCGGCGAGGGGGCACCTTACGTGGGCAGCATCAACTACATTCTGCGACGGGATGGCGGGAACCTGAAAATAGCCTACCGCCACGCGGTCCTGGACCTGGAAGCCCTCTCGTGGCACGGCGCGGTCAGCATCATCTTTTGACCCCCGGTAAATTGGACTGCAATGATTTGGCCTGCGGTCATTTGGACTATTTGACAGATTAGGCGATGGAGGCTGGCGTTTGAAACTCGAAGGCAAAACGGCGTTGGTGACGGGCACCAGTCCGAACATCATGGGCGGCATCGCCGAGGAGTTGGCCCGGGCCGGCGCCAACCTGGTCTGCGTCGACATCCGCGAGGACCACGCCGTAAAATGCGCCGCGGCCATTGTCGCCGAGGGACATGAGGCCATCGGCGTAGCCTGCGACGTCACCGACGAGGACCAGGTGGTCGCCGCGATCTCCAAGGCCACCGGACGGTTTGGGGGCGTGGACATCCTGGTCAACGGCGCGGCCCAGTTCAACTTCAAGGGCGTGCTGAACATGCCGTTGGACGAGTGGCGGCGCCAGACCGACATCATTCTCACCGGCGCGTTTCTGTTCACCAAGCACATGGCTCAATTGATGATCCAGCAGGATCGAAAGGGCAATATCATCAACATCATTTCCACCGCGGGACATCAGGGTGAACCCGGCAACGTGGGCTACGGTACTGCCAAGGGCGGACTGCTCAACTTCACCCGGTCTGTGGCCATGGAATTGTCCGCCTACGGCATCAGGGTCAACAGCCTGACTCCAACCGCCACTGACCAGTCCGAAGGACGGGAGCGGGCCGCCAGATGGGGGGTGGATTGGCCAGGACCCCGCCTGGGACAACGCGCGGCTGGACTAATCCCGGACGCCAGCAGAGGCGCCCCCTTGCTCAGGCTCCCGGGTCCGACACACTACGGCAAGGCAGCGGTGTTCCTGGCGTCCGACGACGCTGAAATGATTACCGGATTCGATCTGCGCGTGGATGCCGGCGCCATTTCGAGGTACTGGATCTGGTCACCGGGCGACGCTTAGCCCTTTCACAAAGGCAATTACATACCTGTGCACGCCGGCTCTCCAAACCGCGGGGGTTTACTCAATTGGCGGGATTGACCGTAGCCGGGGTTCCGGTGGTTGCCAACCGTTAGCCTGGCGAAATCGCTTGTCAAGGCTGGCGGTCGGATGCTACTTTGGGGCCGTTTGATATGATGGAATGTGGCCGGAATGGAGAGGGACGATTCTAAGGTCGCTGAATTCGGCGGCGTCACTTTTGCCATATTGACGCGGGCGAGTATCTGCGTGATGTGGTGCGGTTTCTGGGCTTGCCGGGTATATCTAACCGATGCGCTCGATTACCGATTCACTGAACCGGTATCGATAGCAGTTCAGTTACTTGGCACAAATCCGTTTGATCAAGGATTCGCCATTGGAATGGCAATCATGACCGTACAAGTAGCGCGCATTGTGTGGTTTTACATCTTTGGAGGAATCGTGGGCATATTGTTGCCAACATCAAAAAGTTTGGCGGAGAGAGTTGCTAAACGCCTATCACCGGACAGGTTTGAGGCAATCGCGATGCAAAAGTTGACGCCGGATAGATTGCGCCAGCTTGCGGAACAACAGGAACGTGAAGCGGAGGAACAGCTCCCAGCCTAGACTTGGTGGGGACGGGGTTGAACGTGATCACGGCGTGTCAGTTGGCTTTGAGCGCGACCAACGTCCGGTCCACGTCCTCCGCCTCCAGCGACAGCCGCTCCCATTCGTCCCACAGGGACTGCTCCTCCTCCTTGAGCGTCCGGTACCGCTCGCCGGTATCCTCCAACTGGCTCCGGTCCGCGAATCGCTCCGGGTCGGCGAACATTACTTCCAGCTCTGAAGTGGCAGCCTCGCGCTCAGTAATGGCGGCGCCGATCTCGTCGATGCGGGTCGCCAGCTGCCGGGCCCGCCGACCCAGGGATCGCTCCTCTTCCTCTTTGACGGTGAGGGGTCTCCGCGACCGTCGCGTGGTAGTAGGGGCGTTTTCCGCGGTGACCAGTGTATTGTCCGTGGCAGCTGCGGGAGCGGGTCGCGCTTCCGCCTCCTGCTGCTTGCGATACAGATAGCCGTCATAGTCGCCGGGAAAGACCCGGGGCAGTCCTCCGTCAATCTCAATTATCTTGTTGGCCACCTGCCGGATCAGGGTGCGGTCGTGAGTCACCAGGCAGATGGACCCGTGGTAATCGCCTAGAGCGTCGGCCAGGATCTCCCGGGACGCTATGTCCAGGTGGTTGGTCGGCTCGTCCATCAGCAGAAAATTGCTGGGTTGCAGCAGCAGCTTGGCCAGAGCCACCCGCGCCTTTTCACCGCCGGACAGCACGGATACCGGCTTGAGAATGTCGTCGCCGCTGAACAGAAAGCCGCCCAGGGTGGTTCTCAGGTTCTGCTCCGATTCCGACGGCGCGGCCTCCTGCAACTCCGCAAGGGCGGTATTGTCGGCGCTGAGCAGGTCCAGCACATGCTGGGCATAGTAGGCGGTGATCACGTTATGACCGAGCCGGCGTTCCCCATGGTCAACGGCCAGCGCGCCGGCGAGGATCTTCAGCAGCGTCGTCTTGCCGGCCCCATTCGGCCCAACCAGCGCAATGCGATCCCCACGTTCCAGCGTCAGGTTCAAACCGCGATATACCACGTTGTCGCCGTAGGATTTGGCTACGTTGTCCAGCCTGATGATGTCGGTGCCGCTCCGTGGCGGCTCGGGGAACGAGTAGTTGATCCTCCGGGTCGCCCGAGGCAGTTCGATGATCTCAACCTGTTCCAGCCGTTTCAGCCGGCTCTGCACCTGCCTGGCCTTGGTTGCCTTGTAGCGGAACCGCTCGACAAAGCGCATCTGCCTCTGCATCTCGCGTTCCTGGCGGGCAGCGGCGGCCTGTTTGATTTCCAGCGCGCGTTCCCGGGCAACCAGGTAGTCGTCGTAGTTCCCGCGGTGGTTCACCACCTCTGCCGGCTCGATGGCGAGAATCCGGTTGGCAACCTGGTTCAGGAAGGCGCGGTCGTGGGAAGTTATGACCACTCCGCCGGGAAAAGAGGCCAGGTACTTCTCGAACCACAGGTTGGCTTCGAGATCCAGATGGTTCGTCGGCTCGTCCAGCAACAGCAGGTCCGGGTTTCGGAACAACAACCGGGCCAGCTCGGCCCGCATGATCCAGCCCCCGCTGAACTCGCCCATGACGCGGGAGAAATCATGCTCCTTGAAACCCAGGCCGGACAGGATCGCCTTCGCCTCATGGTCGCGGTCGGCTCCCCCGGCGGCCTCCAGCTCCACATCGAGCCGCGACAGGAGATCCATCAGATCGCGCTGTTCCGCCGGGTCGGTGGTCGCTGACAGGTCTTCCCTGGCCGCGGCAATCCGATCGGACAGAGCGACCACTTCCAGGTTGGCGGTCAGCACCTCCTCGAGCAGTGACCGGCCCGCGAACGGCGGCGGTTCCTGCTTCAGGTATCCTACCGTGGTGTTGCGCCGCCCGGAGATTGCGCCCGCATCCGGCAGAGTATCGCCGGCGAGGATGTCCAGCAGCGTCGTCTTGCCGGAGCCGTTGGCCCCGATCAGGGCGATGCGGTCGCCCGCAGCCATCGACAGGCTCAACCCGCTGAACAGGGTCCGCTCGGAATAGGCTTTGCTGATGTTGGATGCGAATAGCATTGGCACTCGGCACGGGAGAACGCGGGCATCAAGCCCCGTTCGTCCTGCTTATCCTGCAGCCGTCATTTCTGCTGTGTCTGCGTTCCGCGAAATGGTGGCCGCGGCGGATGTCACACCCCGACCCTCACTACGGGTCGGCGTCGGCCCAACGGTCTGAATGGTCCTGGCATCAGGCACATCAATGGTCACACCCGGACCCATCCGCCAACCGCGCCGCGCGTACCCGGAGCTATCGGCCCCAGATAAGCCGAACACACGCCCGTCACCTGTGGTGACGGGCGCTGTATCCGAAACGGGACACGCGGCAGACCTAGTCTTCGCGGATATCTTCACCGCCGTCCACTCGGAACCCCAGGCCCATCTTGACCTGGTACCAGTTGGCGTGTCCGTCGTCGATGGTGCCGCGGATCTCCCGCACCTCGAACCAGTCCAGGTTGCGGATGGTCTGGGCCGCCCGGGCGATTGCCCCGTCAATGGCTTCTTGTAGGCTTTCGCTGGAGGATCCCACCAGCTCGACTACCTTGTAAGTGCTTCCAACTGCCATTTCTCACTCCGTTATGCTTGAGAGTATCGTTGCTTTTGCGCTTTCACTAACCGCGCCAAGATATAATATTCGGCGTAACCCGATTGGGCAACCGGCAACACCGTCTCTTTTCGTCACAAATCCCCTCTCCGGCGTCTTTCCGGGAAACTGAACTCATCGGAAACCGGACTCGGACCCTTCTTCCGTACACCTACCGGTTTCGGAGGCCGACGCGTCCGGCTCGTGGTATGGTCGGAAACGCCATCACAACCCTACCCGCCCCGGGTGTACCCTCCAATGAAGCGCAGCGAAAACCGTATCCTCACCACCCATACCGGCAGCCTCCCCCGTCCCGAGGAACTGGTGGGCATGCTGGCCTCCGTGTCGCGCGGCGAAGCGGTCGTCCCGACGACGCTGGAGGTTGCCGCCCGGGAGGCCACCGCCGGCGTCGTGGCGGCGCAATTGGACGCCGGCGTTGACGTTATCAACAACGGCGAGCAATCCCGCATCAGCTTCTCCACCTACGTCACGCAGCGGATGTCCGGCTTCGGCGGCTCCTGGACCCGCCGCGGCCACCGCGACCAGAACGAATTTCCCGCGGTGGCACGCCCCCGTGTCGTGCAGCTGATGCGCGACGTGCCAACTTGCATTGGGCCGCTCAACTACGACCGGCTGGACCTGGTTGAACGGGAATGCCGGCAACTGCTCGACGCGGTGGACGCCGCCGATGACCGTCCTGAAGAGCTGTTCATGACCGCCGCGTCTCCCGGCATCGTCGCTCTGACCCTCGGCAACCGGTACTACGACAGCCACGAGGATTACGTCCTTGCGCTGGCGGAGGAGTTACGGAAAGAGTACGAGATCATCGTCTCCAACGGCCTGACCCTGCAACTGGATTGCCCCGACCTGGCGATGGAACGGCACGTTTCCTACCAGGACGAACCGCTGTCGGCTTTCCGAGACCTGGTGGCCCTGCATGTCCGCGCCATCAATCACGCCCTGGCCAACATCCCCCGCGACCGGGTGCGGCTGCACGTCTGCTGGGGCAACAGCGAAGGCCCGCATCACTACGACGTCCCGTTGGAGGACATCCTCGATCTGCTCTACGAAGCCAATGTCGGCGCCCTGGTGATGGAAATGGCCAACCCGCGACACGCTCACGAGCACCGCGTGTACCGCGATCACCCGCTGCCCGAGGGCATGCTCCTCGTCGCCGGCGTCATCGACACCAAGACCAACTATGTGGAGCACCCGCGCCTCGTGGCCGACCGACTGCACCAGGCCGTGGCCGCCGCGGGAGGCGACCCCACGCGCGTGCTCGCCGGCACCGACTGCGGCTTCGACACTTCCGCCGGCTCCAACCGCGTCGACGCTGGCATCGTCTGGCTCAAGTTGCGCGCCATGCGCGAGGGCGCGGACATCGCCAGCCGCGAGCTGTTCTGAAGCGCCGCGACGCACTCGATCCATAGCGTAGAATGGGCACCATTCGTCCCGCCCAACCTCCCCAGGAGTTTCTCCCATGATTATCGACACCCATACCCATGTGGTCAGCAGCGACAGGAACGCTCACCCGCTCCATCCCGACGCCAGCGGCTGGTCTCTCGAGGTCAGCAACAACGTCGCGGACCTCATCAAGGAGATGGACAGCGCCGGCGTGGAGTGTGCCACCCTGGTCCAGCCCAATGGCACCTACGGCCTGGACAACTCCTACCAGTGCGACAGCGCCCTGCAGTACGCTCCTCGCACCGTCGCCGTCGGCATCCTGGACCCGGCCGCCTCCGACGCCGCCGACCAGCTATCCTATTGGACCAACGAGCGCGGGATGTGGGGCGTCCGCCTGCAGAGCCAGGCCGAGCCTGACGATCCTCGTTGCGACGCCCTGTGGGACCGCGCCGAATCCCTGGGCGTCCCCATCTCCATCGGCGGCGGCGGCACGGCCGATCGCGTCGACCGGATGCGCAACATCGGCGGCCGGCACCCCAACGTCCTTTTCGCCCCCGACCACTTCGCCGGCTGGAGCGGTTCCCAGGACAAGCCCGGCATGACCACCGCCCTGGAGGAACTGGCCCGCCTGCCCAATGCCCACCTGCGCTACTCCAGCACCAGCCTGGGACCCTACGCTGGGTTGACGGACGACGAGAAGGACCTGTTCCGGCGTGTCATCGAAGCGTTCAGCCCGAGGCGCATGATGTGGGGCACCAACTTCCCATCGTCGCGCGAGGGCGGTTTCATCGGCCAGGTCCAACTCGGGCAGACCGCCCTCCCCTGGCTCTCCGCCGAAGACCTCGACTGGATGATGGGCGGTGCCGCCGCCACCTTCTGGCCCATGCTCCAGGCGCCATAGACAAGATTGAATTCCTGGCCACCGCCGCATAACGACACGCAGACGCGGTGGCCAAGCACCCCAGATCAACGCCCGCCGGCAGGATGAGCTTCGCGCGCAACCCAAACGTCACTGCGAGCGCAGCGTGGCAATCTCACCGCACCCCACCCAAACGTTACAGCGCCCCACCCAGACGTCATTGCGAGCGCAGCGTGGCAATCTCGTCGCCATAGCACGCCCTCGCGCCGAAAATGAACGCACCAATTCCTTACTGCCGCGCACCTTCATTCCCGACGACGATCGAACGACCCTGACGTGATAGCCCCGGTCGGTTTAGGGAGCGGTTGTCCGCCGACCCTACGTGTGGCAACCCTCCTCGCAATGGTCGCTCGGGGGTACGTCCAGCACGGGGTTGGTGTTGAAAAACCCCACCGGCTTCAGACTGAACCCGCAGTAGGCCACCGGCGAAATCGGCCAGTCCTCGGGCCGCGGCACGTGGTGATAGCCGAGCGTGTACCACAGCACCAGGTCCGTGTTCTCCACGTTCCGGTCGTTCCGGGTGTACTCGGGCAATCCCGCCCCGCCCGGGTGCTGGTTGGGATACGGCCCCGTGGCCGAGATCTCGTCCCGGTCGTAGGGCGTCACCCACAGGTGCCTGGTCATGAATCCCGCGCGCTTCATGATGCTGGCATCCGGATGCGCGAAGGGAAGGATGTTCTCGCCCGGCATCAGCTTGTAGCTCACCGGCTGACCCAGCGCGTTCCTGGCCGTGGTGTTGGACACCATCCAGTATCGGCCTTTCATCGGATCTACCACCCGCTGCGCCTCGTGCTCGGTCCGTAGCGGCATCTTCTCAGCGTAGAAGGCATTGCCATGGGGGTTGTCGGGACCCGGCGGCTCGGCCACGGTGTTGACCTCGAATACCGCGTTTTCCTCGCCGTCCACGCTCATGTCCAACCGGAAGTTGAAGAAATGCTGGTGGACGTGCGCGTTCAGTTGGGGAGCCACCAGGGTGCCGTACTTCGGCGTTTCTCCCTCGGCAATGCCGGCGGTGTTGATTATGCCGGTCAGCTTGATTTCCATCTGTATCGTGCCGTCCTGGTAGAAATACCAGAAGAACCCGTACTCGTAGTTGCCCACGGTCGCGACGCTGGAAATCACCAACCGCCGGGAACGGCGCACCTCGGTTTGCCCATTGCGCCAGTCGGTGTGCTTCCACAGGATGCCATAGTCCTCCTCGTGCATGCACACCGCGTTGGGAATGGTGAACGGCTGCCCGTTGCCATCGTTCAGCGCCGCGTCGAAGTAGTAGATATCTCCGAGGCAGTCGCATCCCAGGGTCAGCGAGTTGGTCAGGGAACCGATGCCATACTCGCCGGCATCGAAGGCGTTCTTGCGATAGTGGTCCTTGCCGGGTTCGCCATACGGCACCACCATGTCGGACAATGCCGCCCGGTACAGAATGGACCGGATCCGGCCTTGGTCCTCGTACCCCACGGTGTGGATCACCAGTCCCTCTCGTGGCGTGAACCCAACACGCAAATGCCACTTCTGCCAAGCTACGCTCCAGCCGTCGACCCTGAAACTCGGCCCGTCGGGCTGCGTGATTTCCAGCGGTTTCAGGTCCTCGCGGAATTTGTCGACGAACTCCGCGCCGTAGTTGCCGGGCTCGGGCGGCAGCGGCACAAATCCGTAGTCGTCAACCCGCACCACCTCCATGCTGTTCAGGTCCACCACGGCAGTGACCCCCTCGATGGGGCGGGCGTAGCCGTTGTCCGTGGGGCTGGACCGGGCGAAGTTGCGGCACAGCACCAGCCGGCGGCCTTCCTCGTCCTCGTAACCGTAGTTGCCCGCCGACCACGGGTCCACCATCACCAGGTTGGGGTCGGTGATACCTCGCTTCTTGATGGCCGCCCGGAACCTCGAATCCGCTCTGACCGCAGCCTCGCACTCCATGAACTCGTCGAACATCACCCGAGGCTGCACGCCGGGGATGTGCTCCCACGAAACCACGCGGCGGTCATCAAGCGATACCACCGCCTCCCAAGTGGCCGCGGCGTCGTTGTCCAGCACCACCAGGAAAGCGTCGCGCCGTATCGGATCACCCGGCCGGAACCCGAGCGTCACGTTCTTATCCGGCTCCCGCAGCACGACGGTCTCGAACCGGGTCCGCGCGCCCAACTGGCGTTGCTCCTTCAGAATGGCGGACGCCTCGGCTATCTCATCCGCCGTCAGCGGATCCAGCGGATGCGAGACCGTGGAAACGGGCGGGCGCCGGCGCTGCCGCCTTGGTGGAAATGGTCATAACGACCTCCTCTGGTATGGTGGTTCCAGTGAAGCAGATTGAATGACGGATACCGGACGCTAACAGCGCGCCGTTTCACGGTCAAGCGACCCGTTGCGCGCCGTTAAATCCCGATACCGGATTGGAGCCGGCGCAGCCGGTGCTAAAATCAGCCAGGAACCCGCAGAGTTGACCACGGAGGGAATCTCATGGCCATCACCGTCGGCATGGGCGAGTACGTTTACGAATACCAACCGGAATGGCCCCGCCTGCCGGTCGGCCAGGGTTTCCGGGGGATCAGCGGCGTCGCCGTCGATAGCCAGGATCGGGTCTACGTGTTCCAGCGGCAGGGGCCACCGGTGCTGGTGTTCGACCGTGACGGGAACCCGGTGGCCGCCTGGACCCGCCCGGACGGCGTACCCGCCGACGCCCACCATATCCACGTCGGGCCCGACGACTCCGTGTACCTCGTGGACCGGGACGCCCACCAGATCCTGAAATACTCTCCGGATGGGGAGTTGCTGTCGTCCATCGGCGCGCGAAACCGCGCGGCCCTCCAGGCGCCGTTCAACCATCCGGCCGATGTCTGCGTGGCCCCCTCCGGCGAGCTGTTCGTCGCCGACGGCTACGGGAACTCCTCGGTGCACCGGCTGGCCGCCGACGGTTCCCTCATCGCGTCCTTCGGGCGTCCCGGCCGGGGTCCTGGGGAGTTCATGGTGCCCCACAGCATCCGAGTCTCCGCCGACGGACGTATCTACGTAGCGGATCGGGAGAACAACCGGGTGCAGGTGTTTACCATCGACGGCGACTTTTTGGACCAGTGGACCGACTTCAAGTGTCCCATGGGCGTGCATATCGACGCAGAGCAGCGGGTCTACGTCACCGACCAGGTGCCGCGCATCAGCATTCTGACCCTAGATGGCGAGCTGTTGGCCCGGGGCAGGACGTTCGAGTACGCCCATCAGGTCTACACCGATTCGCGCGGCGACATATACGGCGCCGACACTTCCAACCAGCGCGTGCAGAAGCTGGCCCGGGTGAAATGATCCGCGGCGCGGATGTTCAGCGCACGAACCTGTGACCGGAGGCCCACCATGCGATTCGCGGCATTTACCACTGTTACCGCATCCGCCGGCGAGGCTGCCGATGCCGCCGGTTTGCTGGACAACCTACGGCAGCAGACTGCCCTGGCGGAAGAGCTCGGCTTCGAAGCCCTATGGCTTGGAGAGCACCACTTCAGCCCGTTCGGTGTGGGCGATCTCCCCAATCCCATACTGCTGGGAGCGGATCTCGCCGCCCGCACCTCCACCATCCGCATCGGCCAGATGGCGAACATCGCCACCTGGTGGCATCCGATCCGACTCGCCGAAGACCTGGCCATGCTGGACAACATGACCGGAGGCCGCCTCGAAGTCGGGTTCGGTCGCGGCATCTGGCCCTACGAGGGACCTCAATTCCACGCCAACGCGGATCCCCGCAAGGACGCTGAGAATCGCGAGCTGTTCCAGGAAACCGTCGAGATAGTCCGCAAGATCTGGTCCAACGAGTATTTCGACCACCAGGGGACCAACTACACCTTCCCCGCTCCGGACACCGTTTTCTCTCATCCGCTGGTCACTGCCGATCCGGCCTGGCAGGACGGCCAGCGTGTCACCCGGCTGCGCGTGACCCCGCGCCCGTACCAAAAGCCGCACCCTCCGCTGTGGATGACGGTGTCCACCGACCGGTCGGTGACCACCGCAGCTCAGATGGGCCTGAAAGCCTGCTACTGGCAGCCCCCGCCTCTGAGAATCCGCCAACGCATGGAAATCTACGCCGAGGCCCGCTCCACCTCGGAGGGTCGCCCGTACCGGTTGGGCGAAGACCAGGCGGTCATGCGTTCCACCTACGTCGCCTCGTCAATGGAAGAAGCCCGCAGGGATGCCGAGGCCGGCATCATGTCGGCGTTCATATTCAACGATCCCTTTCGCGGGCGGCAGGTATTCACCAACCCCGGCGAAGAGCTCGACCCAGAGGTCAAACTGGACTGGGATTTTCTGGAGCCGCGCACACTGCTGGTCGGCTCGCCGGATAACGTCGCCGAGAAGATCCAGGAACTTCAGGAGGTGTGCAACCTGGACTACCTCCTCGTGGAGTTCGCCCATTTCGGCATCCCACAGCGCAAAATGCTGCGCAACCTGGAGAATTTTGGCACGAAGGTGATGCCGCGCTTCGCTCGTTGACGCCTCCGAAACCCGCGTCTCCACTGTTCCCACGGATACCCGATGCTCCCGGCGCACCAGCAGTGCGGCGTCTGATCTCATCTATGCGCAAACGACTCCCTGCGGCCCCGGAGCTCCCGCAGTCCGGTCCCGTACCAGCAGCGTCCCCGCCGTTGCTGCCACCGACAGGGCCAGCATCAGCAGGAATGCCCGGTCGTAGCTGCCCCAGATGTCGAACGCCAGCGCTCCCGCCAACGCGCCGATGCCCCCGCTGATCTGGTGGATCATCGATATCGTCCCGCTGATCCGGCCCAACCGCGCCGACCCGAAGATGTTGCCCGAGAATATCACCGTCAACGGCGCCGTCATCAGGAACGTGAACCCATACAGCAGCGCGAACACCAACACCGCCGGTTTCGCCTGCGACAGCATCACCAGCACAAAGATCCCGATCCTCATCACGAAGCAGAGCAGCGTCGGCCGGGCCGGCCCCATGCGGTCGGCCAGGAACCCCGAGACCAGCACCCCCAGCAGACCCATCACCCCCATCAGGGCCAGCAAGTTCCCCGCGATCAGCGTGCCGAACCCGGTGTCCAGGGCAAACGCCACCACATGGGTTGCCACGAAGAAGTCCTGGAACCCGCATATCGCGTAGATTCCGCCCAGCAGCCACAGCTGTCCCGATGCCAGCAGGGGCGCTCGCCCCGGATCAACCGCCTCGCCCGACCCCGACGGAACCCTGGCCGGCGGTCGATCACCGTCCGCGGGCTGACCTGGTGAGGGTCTCACGGCAGCCAACACGATGGGAACGAGGATCACCAGGCTGGCCAAACCGAGCGCCCCGTAAGACACCCGCCAGCCGAACCTGACCAACGACTGCGCCAGCAGCCCGACGATCACCAGCTGGCCAATGGCGTTGCCCGATACCGCTACGCTGTTGGCCACGCCGCGACGGTCGGGAAACCATCGGACAACCATGACGCTCACGATGGGGTTGGAAATCCCGGCGTTCCCCAACGCGAATACCAGACCGTAAACCGCGAACATTTGCCACGGATCAGCGACCACGCTCATCAGACCGACGCCCACCGCGCCCACCGCCGCACCCGTTCCCATGACCCAGCGCAGGTCGTAACGGTCCGCCAGCCGGCCCACGAAGGGCAGCGCCAGCGCGGAGACCACCATGTACGCGGTGATCCCCAACGACAGGACTGACCGGCTCCACTCCAGGTCGTCGCCCATGGGTTTCAGCATGAGCCCCAGGGCAGAGCGGGACCCTCCGTTGAAGAAGAGGATCGCGAACCCAGTGCTCAGGATAATCCAGCGATAATCGATCCGACGCATCGCAATACCGGTTCGTCAGGGTGGCTCACCGTATCACCGGCATTTAACGCGAGTCAACGAACCACGCTCGGCACATTGGGCAATCGCTTTTGGAACTTCTGAAGGCATGGCCGCGCAAAGTCATTGAAAGCGCGGCGTGGCAATCCCGTCGCCATCCACCCAACAGTCATTGCGAGCGCAGCGTGGCAATCTCGCCGGCCTGGAAAGCACGTTTGGGCATCACCGTTCAGACCCCAAACTGGCGGCCGGTCAATATGCTCCCCGCAATGAAACACAACTTTGAATAGGAAACGGGCCGCCAATCGGCGGCCCGCCCTGATCCCCTCCGATCAAACTCCCCGCCTACTTGAAGTGGGGGATGACGTCCTCGGAGAGGCACTTCAAGGTGTCCATGACCACCTCGCGGGGCACGGATGATGTCCAGTTGCACTCGAACATAATCTCGTCGGTGGTGAACGCCTCCCGGAACATGTGAATCTTCTCCACCACCTCTTCCGGCGTGCCGAAGAGGTTGACTTCCTGGGTGGCCTCCGGGCCGGCGCTGCCGGCGTCAGTGCTGCCGATGCCGACGCGGCCCGCGTAATAGATCCGGGCCAGGTCCATCAGGTTTTCGACCCGGCGGTCGGCTTTGTCCTGGGTGGCCGCGACGAGAGTCGGCACCCTGACGACCGTGGAGGGCTCTCCGTCATGCCCCGCCTTCATCCAGGCCTTGCGGTAGTCCTGGACGTCCTGGCGGAGGACGGTGGAGCCCCGCAGGTTGTGGGGGGAACTGCCGGCGCCGATGGCAATGCGGTATCCCTGCTCGCCCATGGGCACGAAGCTCTCCTGGCTGTCCACGGGCAGCAGCATGGGCATGGGCTTCTGCACGGGCTTGGGGATGCTCATGTAGCTCTCGTAGAAGGCAGGGTAATTGAAATGCTTGCCCTCGAAACCGGAGAAGCTGTCCTCGTTCCAGAGCTGCTTCAGAAGCTCCAGGTACTCGAAGAAGTACTCCCGTCGCTCTTCGGAGCCGCGCGTGCGGGCCCCTGCTCCGTAGATGAAGCGTCCCTCGCTGATCTGGTCAACGATGGCAACCTGTTCCGCGACCTGGAAGGGGTCCTCGGGCTGCAGGTTGTCGAAGGCGTACCTTTCGTGGGGCAACGCCCGCTCCGATACGGTCTCACCGGGCAACCGTAGGGTCGGGCGGTGGATCGAAGTACCAATCCTGATGTTCTTGGTGTGGTTGGCGATGACGCTGGACAGCATCAGGGACTGGGGATCCATGCTGCCCTGGGTGGAGAAGTGACCGCCGCCGAACCAGACGAAGTCCCAGCCCGCGTCTTCGATGTGGTCGATCTCAAGGAAATTTTGCTTGTAGGCGTCAGATTCAAGGAGCTTGCCGCCCTTATAATCCGGGTCCCAGGGGACCATGTCGCCCTCGTAAACGGCGTTCCACGTTGTAAACAGTCCAAAGTCCATGCTCGCCCCTCCTGCAGAAGTACGGGGATGCGGTTCCATATTACCCGCGATGATATTCCCGCCGGCTGGCACAGTCAACGTTGAGTTCCGGCCATCCGGGCGACAGAAAACAGGCAGCCTCCATTGCGGTGGGCTTGCCGGGGGACGAGGAGCGTTATCGACGGCGCTCAAAAACCCGCCGCGTCGCCCTGAAACTGGCCTCGTCGGGCCGGCGTGCTCGGGGTCGAGTTACGCCACAACCAGCGTGTGGGCCGGCGCCGGCCCGTCGCCATTGACGGCAATTCGCGGCGCGCATAACATCCGCGCATCCTGCGAAACCCGGAGCAATTGCCCGACAACCCTCCGACTTGGCCATCTTCCCAGCCACAGAATTGACGGATTATTGCCAAAGCGCAACTGCGAATGTTTGATACGGCGCTGAAAAAGAAGCGGGTCATCGGCATTCTGTTGTTGGCCGTTATTCTCACCCTGTTCCTGGCTTTCAACCGCATCCCCAAGCTGGACACGGTTGAAGCGGATTTGGCGGGCGTCAATGCTCCCCGAGCCGAGTGTTTCCAGGGGTTTTGCATCAACCGGGAACCGGAAACCGGATTCTTCGAACGGTGGTGGGACTTCTCCACCAGCTATCTGAAGCTCGTGACCGCCGGAATGATTTTCGCGTTCCTCGCCGCGGGAATAACCGAAGTATTCCTTTTCCCCGGCAACGGCGGCTCCCGGTTCACCGGCGGCGGGATCAAGGGGGTGTTGCGCGGGTTCGCTGTCGGATCCTCCATGAACCTGTGTTCCGCTTGCATCGTCCCCATCGCGTCGGCCTTTCGGAACCGTGGGGCTCCCGTGGAAACCGCCATCGCCATAACCCAGGGGTCATCCACCCTGAACGTGCCGGCCCTGGTGATGGCCGCCCTGGTCTTCACCCCCATGCTGGCCAGCACACGCATCGCGGTCAGCATCGTGGGTGTTCTGTTGCTGGGCCCGGTGGTGGCATTGCTGGTCAGGCGCCAAGTCCGGCTCGCGGACATTTTCCGCGGCGGCGCGGACGCCGGCCCTCCCGAGCTGGCCACGTGGCGGGAGACCGTGTCCTCCGGGCTCAGGGCTTGGTTGAAGTCCAGCCTGCGGTACCTGTGGCGTTTGGGTCCCGCCATGATTTTGGCGGGCTTTGCCGGCGGGCTGGTGATCCAATGGATAACGCCCGACACCGTCGCCAATTACCTGGGCGACAATGTGTCGGGGATCGCCGTCGCCGCAACCCTGGGCATCCTTATCAACGTGCCGTTGCTTTTCGAGATCCCCTTGGTCGCCGTGCTGATGCTGGTCGGCATGGGCGCGGCGCCCGCGGCCGCCCTCCTCTTCGGAGCCGCGGCGGCCGGCCCGTTCACCTTCTGGGGGCTGGCCCGCGTCATGCCCAAGCGAGCGGTGGCCGCCTTTGCCGCCGGCACGTGGACGCTGAGCATGGTCGGAGGCGTGGGCCTGCTGTTCATCGGGCCGTTCTTCCTGAACGACTCCAACTCCCGCATCGTTTTCAGCTCGGACCGGGACGGGGACTTTGAGATCTACTCGATGTATCCGGACGGCTCCGACCTGAAGCGGCTCACCAGCAACTCCGGCTACGACGATTTGCCCGCTTGGTCTCCCGACGGCAAAAAGATCGCGTTCGTGTCCGACCGTCACGGCAGTCCCGAGATCTATGCGATGAACGCGGACGGGTCCCGCCCGCGACGCCTGACCGAGGACAACGGCCCGGACAACGTGCTCCCCGCGTGGTCGCCCTGACGGCAACAAGATCGCTTTTTCTTCCGACCGGGACGGCAACCGGGAGATCCACGTGATGGACGCCGACGGCTCCAACCGGATCAACCTGACCCACGACCCGGGTTACGATTCCTCCCCCGCCTGGTCTCCCGACGGGCAGCGGATTCTGTTCAACTCGCGTCGCGACGGTAACCTGGAAATTTACCTGATGGATTCTGCCGGCGCCAACCAGGTCCGGCTGACCAGGAATGCAACCTCCGACGAATTCCCCGCCTGGTCGCCCGACGGTTCCCAAATCGCTTTTTCCTCCAGCCGGACCGGCCGGCGGGCCGTTTATGTCATGGATGCAGACGGTACGAACCCGGTGCAGCTGACTGGCGATGCCTTCCGGGATTACTGGCCCTCGTGGTCCCCGGACGGTACCCGGATAACGTTCACCAGCGACCGGTACGGCGCCCCCGAGATCATGGTCATGCACGCCAACGGGTCGCACCAGACGAACCTCAGCGGCAGTCCCGGCGCCGACGTCGGACCCGCGTGGGGACCCGGGGATCTTCCGCCGGCCGCCTCACCGGGGCTCCGTATCTTGTCCGTGGACCCTCCGGCCGCCGCCTCCACCGGGGGAAGCCTGGTGACCATATCCGGCGTCGGATTCGAGGAACACAGTCGAGTCACCATCGGTGGACTGGAAGCGCCGGTCGTTGAGTTTCTCGACGCGCAGACGATGACCGTCGCGGCTCCCGCCCACCAGGCCGGCGTGGTTGACGCGGTGATAACCAATCCCGATGGCCGTTCCGCGATCTTGACCGGAGGTTTCCGCTATCGCCAACCGTTCTTCACCGACGTGGCGCCAACTGCCGGCGCCGCCTTCCAACATTACCGCGACCCGGTGGACCGGATCCCGCTGGGCGCCGGCGTGGTCGTTTTTGACTTCAACAACGACGGCCTGCAGGACATCTACGTCGCCTCCAAACCTTCCTGGAGCGAATCTCCGGACCAGATCGACGGGTCAAACGCCCTGTACCGGAACGATGGAAACGGAACGTTCACCGATGTCGCCTCCGAAGCCGGTGTCGACGAACTCATGGACCTGTCCAACGGAGGCTGCGCCGCAGATTACGACAACGACGGCGACCGGGACCTCTACGTCACCAATTGGGGCACCAGCAAGCTCTTCCGCAACAACGGATCGGGCGCCTTCGTGGACGTGACTAACCGTGCCGGATTGGCGGACCCCGATCCCAGCTACCGGTCGATGGGTTGCGCCTGGGGCGACTATGACCAGGATGGACATCTGGACTTCGTCGTTGTCCGGCACATGGAAGAATCCGACATGGAGGCCTTCGATCTCAGATTCTTCAACCTTGCGGTGCGGCCCCTGGGTCTATTCCACAACAACGGCGACGGTACCTTCGCGGATGTTTCGCATCTTCTGGGCGACACCGCGCCTCCCCGGAAAATCCCGGGCGAGTTCGGCAGCCTGTGGGGAGCCGGCTTCCAACCGGGTTGGCTCGACTTCGACAATGACGGCGACTCCGACCTCTACGTGGTGAACGACTTCGGCCGGGAGGTTCAGCCCAATGTCCTGTGGCGCAACGACGGTCCGGCAGCCGGCGGCAAATGGCAATTTGAGGACATTTCCCGCAACTCCGGGACCGACGTGGCAATGTTCGGCATGGGCCTCGCCGTCGGTGACTACGATCTCGACGGACACTTCGACCTCTACGTCACCAACATCGAAGACAACGTCCTGCTGCGAAACAACGGCGACGGCCTCACCTTCACCCCGACGGCGTCCGACGCCGGTGCAGGACTGGGACTGTTCCAAAGGCGGCAACGAGTCAGCTGGGGTACGGTGTTTTTCGACTATGACAACGACGGTTGGGAGGACCTTTACGTAGCCAGCGGCCACCTGGACAGCGACCCGTTCACCAATCACCGGCGCCAGCCCAACCTGCTGCTGCGCAACACCGGCAACGCGGCATTCGAGGACGTGTCGTCAATCAGCGGCGCCGACGACCCGGGTGTCGGCCGCGGCGTGGCGTATGCCGACTTCAACAATGACGGTTGCCTGGACTTGTACCTGGCGAATCTGGGCCTGGCCGGGGATAAGCCGCAGGACGCGCGGCTATTCCTGAACGGCTGCGCCTGGGACGCCAACTGGCTTCGCGTCCAAACCGTGGGAACGCTGAGCAACCGCGACGGTATCGGCGCCCGGATCACGGTGGTTGCCGATGGCCGCACGCAGATCAGGGAAATCACGGCCGGCTCCAGCAACAAGAGCCAGAATATGCTGTCCGCTCACTTCGGCCTGGGCGGAGCCGCCAGGGTCGATTCGGTGCAAATCCGCTGGCCCAGCGGGATCGTCCAAACCCTGCATGATGTGTCGCCCAATCAACAACTGACGGTTGTGGAGACTCCCTGAGGCCGCCAAAGAGCGGCAGTCTCCGGGCCGCTGTCTCAATTTTGCGTCCAACGCCTGCCGGATTGCCCGGTTCCCGTGGCGCCGGTGCGTGTGCCCCGGCACCGCTATTGACACCAATTACTCTGCTAGTATAAAGTCCGGCCCACGTTACGAATGACGATCTGCTCACTGCTTGGATTTACGCTACACGAAACAAAAGTAGTAAGAATGACCTGATTTCGTTTTGATAGCCACGAAAAATAGTCGCCAACAGGATATACGCCGCACGATTCCGTATACACAATTACGGAGACCGTCATCCATATTGAAAGACCGACTGAATTCGCAACCAGGTGAAAGAGCCAGGACGATCTTTGGCTTTACTTTCCGGGAATCATGGATGACAAGCGTCTGTGCAAAAGGGCGCGGACGTGACAATCACAGTCTGGAGGTCTGGTATGAACCGCTACGAATCAAGATCCCATCGGCGCTGCTGCTTTTTACCAGCATTGCTGCTCCGACGTTCGTCGCAGCGTGCGGCGGCGCCGAAACCCCGGCTGACAACGCTCAGCCTGCCGCGTTCCCAGTCGGAACCGGCGAGCGCCCCCGGCAGCCGTGGCTCAGGCCACCGCCATGCCCGAGACCCAGAACCAACCCGGTTCCATGGTCGCGGACGAGAAACAGTTGCCCGTACAGAAGATCATCCTCGGCCTGATCACGCCGATTGACGACACCGTCGTGCCGTGGTTGGGTGGCGTTGACTTCGTGTACCAGCACAGTCCCTTCATGGAGTACCTGGTCCAGTTGGACTCCAATACCAGCGAATGGAAGCCGATGCTGGCCAAGACCTGGGAGGTGAACGCCACCGGCGATGTTTGGACCTTTGAGCTGGAACAGGGCGTGCAATTCCACCGCGATTTTGGTGAGTTCACCGCCGCAGACGTGGAGCACAGCTTCCAGGTCAACTGCCAAATTGGTACCCGCGCCAGCTACAAGGGCGGCATCTGTAACGTTGACCACGTGGAGATCCTCGACCCTCACAATATCCGGGTACACACGGTCAACCCGTCGGCGGAATACCTGTTCTACGCCGCTGAGTCCGCCGGCAACATGATATCCAGCAAGGCTCAGTGTGATGCGGCCGGTGGGTTCGATGTCGCCGCCAACCAGGCCAGCGAGGGTTGCACCAACGCGTACTACGAGAGTATGGCCGGTACCGGGCCCTATCAGTATGACGGCCGGGTCGAAGAAGTACACGTCGACTACTCAGTGGCGTTCCCTGACGGCCACTGGCGCCATGACCCGGACTACCCCGAAATGCGGAACACCTGGGTCTTGGAAGAAGCCACCCGCCTGGCGCAATTCCGTGCGGGTGAGACCCACATGACCGAGGTCAACCGTGACCTGGGCGACAGGCTGGTCGAGGAAGGCTTCAAGATCATCCAGAGCACCGGACCCGCCCAACAGACCGCCTTCCGCTTTGGCGGCATGTTCTACGCCGACCCCGAGAACTACGACCCCGACTTCCCCGTAACGGCGCCTGGCGAAATTGGCATCAAGGTTCGCAAAGCTCTGAACAAGGCCGTGGACCGGGAGACCTTCAAGCAGGAGCTTTACAAGGGCCGCGTGTGGGACTCCAAGGTGCATTCCTTCCATCCCGACCTGACGCCGTGGGATACCAAGTGGGACGACGACTGGGAAGAGGAATACGGCTTCGACATTGAGGCCTCCAAGCAACTTCTCATAGAGGCCGGCTACCCCGAAGGGTTCGAGATCATCGTTCCGATGTATCCTTTCCCTGGCGCTCCGGAACTCCCCCAGATCGCCCAATTCATGCAACTGGCGTGGGCCGAGATCGGCGTGACCCTGACCCTGCGGGACGAGGACCGGGCGGCCGTGGTGGGCCGTCGCAACAATAAGGCCAACCACGAAACGGCCGTGGCTACCACGCCCTCATTCAAGGCGCAGGAAGCCCAGATGATGCTGTTCAACACTCCCAAGTCGGACGGCGGCGCTGGTCTTCATGTATGAGACCAAGGAGCTCCAGGACCTGTACCACACGTTGCAGACCACCATGGGTGCCGACGAACGCGCCGTCATCCTGAAGCAGATGGGCGACATCAAGTTCTACGAGCATGAGTGGATACCCCTCTTCTGGGTGCCCATCGAGACCATCGTGGATCCCAAGATCATCTGCGCCTGGCCCTTCCCGGGTTGGGAAGGCGGTGACCTCGGCAGCAACGAGGAAATCGAAGCTCCTCCCTGCTGATCCGTTGCCGTAGCAACGTCGCAACAGCCTGATCTCAACGCGTCGCGATTGCTGGTTGACCAACAATCGCGACGCCCCTCTTACCCATCGCAACCGCTTGGACTCGGCTAGGAGTTAAGGATGCAACGGTACATCGCCCTACGTCTCCTCCAAGCGCTCATGGTCCTGGTGGTAGTGAGCGTGGTGGCCTTCGCATCGGGCCACGCCGGCGGCAATCCGCTGGATGCCATTTTGCCGGACGATGCCGACGCCACTGTCAGGGCAGACCTGGAAGAACTCTGGGGAATCAACGAGCCGTTGCACATCCAGTATTTCACCTACGTCTGGAACGCTGTCCGCGGCGACTTCGGCAACTCGTTCAAATACCCCAGGTTCACCGTAGCCGAACTCATCAAGAATCGTTTTTTGGCTACGATCCAGTTGGCGGGAGCGGGCATACTCGTGGCTGCGCCCGGGATTGCCCATCGGGGTACTGACGGCAACCTACCGGGACACCGTCTTTGACTGGACCGGCAAGGTGGTTGCGCTGCTGGGACAATCCCTGCCCGTATTCTGGCTCGGCATCATCCTGATGTGGATCTTCGCGGTGCAGTTGGACTGGTTCCCAACCTCCGGCAAGGGCGGCTTAAGACACTTGATCCTGCAGCCGTGGCCATCGGATGGTTCCAGGTTGCCGCAATGCTCCGCCTGGTCCGGTCGTCCATGCTGGACGTGCTGGATAGCGAGTACGTGAAACTGGCCCGGATCAAGGGGCTACCGGAGCGGAAGATAATCTGGAAACACTGCTTGCGGAATGCCTCCATCGCCCCGCTGACCTACTTCGCCATCACCCTGGGTTCACTGATGTGGGCTCCGTTTCCATCGAAACGTCTTCCAGTGGCCCGGTTTGGGGTTCCTCCTGTTCAACGCAGCGCGGGTCGAGCGATTACGCTTGGTTGCAAGGCATAATGCTTACCTTCACCACCATCTACATCGTGGCAAACCTGTTGGTGGACATAGCTTACCCTATGCTCGACCCCCGCATACGGTACAACTGATGCCACGAGGATTAAGCGAGGACGACAGCATGGCCGTAAGCAATACCAACACGAAGCCCGCGCCAGTTGCCGGGTATCGGCACCATAAGCGGGAAATATTCCGCTACACGGTATCCGTCATTTGTCCTACTGGTTCGTACTGATCGTGCGTCCATTTTGCCGCATGGATCGCGCCCCTACGAACCGCTGCCGGCGACTTACCAACCGTCTGCGAACCGTGTTGGAGCATTGGTACGGCACCGACAAGATCGGAGGGACGTTCTCACCCGCGTCATTTACGGCGCCAGGGTCCGGTGATTGTGGCCGGCGTAGCCATCGCAATTCGGGGTGGTCGGCACTACTTTCGGCATCGTTTCGCGTTCTACGGGGGCTGTGCGGACAATATCATGATGCGGTTGTGGACATTTCGCGTCCCTGCCATCATCGTGGGGTCGCGATCGTGGTGGCCGCATATGGCGGGGCCAGCTGAAAATATCTGAATGATCGCGGTGCTGGTGTTGAGCCAGTGGTCGCCGCTATGCGCGGCTGGTGAGAGGCGAACGCTGACATCAGGGCGTCAGTGACTACATCTCCGGGTCACGAGGTGGCGGGAGCATCCACCCGCGAATCATGTCCGCTCAGCATCTCCCGATCATCATCAACACCATCGTTGTGCTGGCCCTCTGCAGGTGGTTTCGTCATCGTGCTGGAGGCGACCCTCAGCTTTCTCCGGGGACGCCGGTATCTCCCGGCGACCCGGCATGGGGCTTGATGGTGGCCGACGGGCGTGAGTTTGTGACCGACGCCTGTGGGGTTTCTTCTCCCGCTGGCCATCCTGCTGACGTTCTGTCATGAACCTCTGGGCGACTGGCTCCGCGACAAGCTGGACCCCAAGCAGCGCAACTTGTAATCGTTGGTCCGGCGTTCAGAGTAGGCACCCTGCTGACAGTGCGCCGGGACACTCCACTCAGCCAGTCGGTTGACGGGCGCGGGTGCGATACGCACCCGCGCCGTACTATTGCGCCACGCCACTCGGCTCGTGGGCCGCTAAAGGCTCGCAACCCAGGGCACCGCGCAAACCCCTGGTGAAGCTCACCTACCGGATCACTCTGCGTGGTTGCACCAACCCCCGATGACGGCTAATCTATCGCCAATGAGTGACGTTATCCGTCCGGTTCCGGGTCAACAGTACCGCCGTCTGCGGCTCGTGCGGGGCGGAAGGCCAAACGCCGGGGCAACCGTGCCAGAATGCCAGCGGACCATCGTCAGCCTCCCGGAATGGGCGGAACCGCCTCCGGGTGGTCGAAAATGGCTGTCCAGCGGCGCCTGATCCGAACCGCGGTGACAGTGGTCGTACTGGCGTTTCTGGCCGTGGCTGGTACTATCCCTTTTTCCCCAATCCAATCACGCTGCTGCTGCATCTCCCAGCACCAAGCTCAGCTCGACATCGCTCCCGGGCCAGGGTCATGGTCGGCCGGGACCTCCAATCACCGGCACATACCCGCCGTGGACAGCCAGCCGGAGGGCCGGATCATCTGGTCGCGCGACCTGGGTACACCGACCCGAGGCGCCCCGTTGGTGCACGACGGAATCGTTTACGTCGGCGGGTTTTTCAAGATCACCGCCCTGGACGCGACAACCGGCCAGGAGCTATGGGAAGTGACCATCCCCAGCCCGCTGGACCACTCGATGGCGATCGCCGGTGACCTGATCTACGCGGGCCTGACCGACCACCGGGTCGTCGCGCTGGACCGAAACACGCGCCAGTTCCGTTGGTCGTACAAGACCGAGGGGCCCATCGCGTCGTCGCCGGTGGTAGCGGACGGCGTCGTTTACGTCGGCTCCGGCGACAGCTCACTTTACGCTCTGGACGCAGCCAACGGCGATGTTTTGTGGCGGGAAAAAATAGTGGGCGAGGTCCGGTCTGCGCCGGCCGTGGACGACGGGCTGGTGTACGCCGCGGACAACCTCGGCAACCTCTACGTATTTGACGCCCGGACCGGCCAAAGCAAGCTGCGCTTCCGCACCGAGGGCAACACCAGGGCATCCCCGGTGTTGGCCAACGGCTTGGCTTATTTCCCCGCCGGCGGGCGGTTGTACGCGGTTGACGCCCGGGCCCGGGAGATCGCCGGCGAGTACCAGTTCAAGCGGGTCTGGGGACAGTTCAGGTATTGGAAGATTCCAGGAATACCGCGTCCGCCGGTGCAAAAGGGCGGCAGGTGGATTCTTGACCCCGATTTCGACGCCCGCACCCGCACCACGACGGGGTTGGTGGCCACGCCATCGGTGACGGAAGATTCCCTGTACGTGGGGAGTTTCCACGGCACCCTCTACGCCGCGGACGCGAACTCCGGCAAGGAGACCTGGCGGTTTGCCGCCGACGGAGCGTTATACGGGTCGCCTGTGGTGCTCGGCGACCGGGTCTATTTCGGCACCGAAGCCGGAAGCTTCTACGCCCTGCGCCGCTCGGACGGAGACCTGGTCTGGAGACTCCCCCTGGAAGCCCCGGCAGACATATCCCCGGTGTACGCGGACGGTCGCTTCTACGTCAGGACCAACGACGGCGCACTCCACGCCATAGAGTGACCGTACCACCAAGCCGCGCGGCAACGCCCGGGCCAGCCCCAGGCCTCGTTCCCAGGAACGACCGCATTCGTAGCCGGGCGCTAACGCCCCTGTTTAACGACTCTCTTTGATGAAGTCGGCCGCCCGCTCGGCCATCATGATGATCGTGGCGTTGGTGTTGGCGCGGACTATGTCCGGCATCACGGCCGCGTCCACCACCCGAAGACTCTGCATGCCGTGCACGCTGCAATACTGGTCCACCACGGCCAACGGATCCGCTCCCGGACCCATCTTGCAGGTGACCGAAGTATGACCGGCGATGCCGGCGCTCTTTTGCAGCCAGGCGTCCAGCGAATCGTCGTCCGCCAGGTCGGCATCAGAGGGTGACAGGCGTTCGGCCAAAAGGTCAGCGAAGGCCGGTGCTCAAAATCTGTACGGTGCGGCGTACGGCGTCACGGAAACGGGCGGTATCCCTGGGATCGGTGAGAAACCGGAATCCAGGTCCGGTTTGCACCGATACGTCCGCGGAGGCAAGGGTCAGCCGCCCTCACTGTAGGGGTATTCCAGCCGCATCCGACACGATGTTGGGCGCCTCCGGCTCTCGGGGTATGACGTGTGTGGCTGGACCTGGATATCGTGTGCGCGCGAATGATCCTGAGCGTGAACCGCCAAGTCCCACCTGGTTTCGGGGCGCGTCGGAAGCCGGATGATGTTCGGGCTGGGAGCGGAACACAATGGACACCGATGGGTGGTTCTTCATGCTTCGACCTACCCCGGGAAGGTCGTGGACCGGCGCGATACCCAACGGGCGCAACTGCTCAGGATCGCCAACCCCCGACAGCAGCAGCAGTTGCGGCGAGGCGATTGCGCCGGCGCTGAGGACAATCTCGTCGCCATCAAGCACGAACGTCTCTCCCCCGCTGTCCACCTCCACTCCGGTCGCGCGCTTGCCCTGAAACACGATGCGACGCGCCAGCACATCGGCCCGGATGGTCAGGTTCAGCCGGTGACGACAGGCGTCGAGATAGGTGATGGCTGTGCTCATCCGCACGCCGCCCGGATTGTTCAGCGGCATTGCGCCGACCCCGGTGGCCTCGGGGTGGTTCATGTCGGGGCTGTCAGGGAAGCCGGCGTCCAGGCACGCCCGATAGAACGCCGCTTGCAGGGGCAGCCAAGTGTCTTGGGGATGGCGCCAAACCGGAATCGGTCCGTCAGAGCCGTGAAAGTCGTCCCGTATGTCGGCGTCGTTCTCCAGCCTGCGGAAGTAGGGCAGCGTGTTCCGGTAGCTCCACTCATCGTTGCCGACGGCGGCCCATCCGTCAAAATCCTCCGGCGCCGCGCAACAGGATCTGATGTTGATGGCGCTGCTCCCTCCGGTAACCTTGCCCCGCGCCACGTGCAGCGACCGCCCCTGCTGCTCAGTGGACTTGCCAACCAGGGACCAGTTGTGCGCGGCGCCCGCTTCGGACGCGGCCTGGTTCATGTCATATTTCAATTCCTGGGGCAGCCGCTCCGGGTCGGGATAGTCCGGCCCGGCCTCCAGCAACAGCACTGACCGGCTGGGATCTTCCGACAGCCGGTTGGCCAGCACGCAGCCCGCCGATCCTGCCCCCACAATGATGACGTCGTATTTCATGCCGTCTCGCCCTCGCGTTACGTTTCGATGCGATATGCCCGCACTGCCGTGTCGTGGAACAGATTCGACCGTTCGTCCCCGCTGTAGCCACGGGAAAGCCGCTTGAACGCGTTGTACATCACGTTAAACGAATTCGCGCTATTTTCGCGCTTGGCAGCCGCCGGCGCAAGACCTGGAAAAATCGCGGAAACCCGTTTCATCAGGGAAACTCGCTCAGTCCGCTCGATCTCTAAACGCTGTTATGCAAATCGCAATAGCCTGCTCGGTTATTCACAATTCGGCCTGCAATCATAATAAAGGCCGCCGGTTTGCTTGCACGCCATTTGCAGCGCTGGGGAAGCCTGAGCACAGCGACTAGTATTACAACGACGGTTCGTTTGCAAGGTCTCTTGGGAATCCCCTCCCGGCTATAGGCCAACTTGCGCGGCGGCTTCGCGCCTGACCGTTCTACAATACAATTTCCGCTCGCGAGTCACCCTATTTGGTGAACCGTCTTTGTAATATTAGGATACCCACTGACGAACTGAGCGTCCGATCATGCATCGAACCGCATCGCGGGGGCATTTCAGGAGGAAATTCAATGTCTGCTGAGTACAGACAACGCCACATGAGAGTGATTGAGTTGAACGAAAACGACGTTGCATCTCAGATACGAATGAACCATGGTCGTGAGCTTGAAGTTGTCGATGCCGCCCTCGATCAGATTCTCCAAGGCTTAGATGCTTTCGCCTATGTGAAGCAACGACCAGATAGCCGACTGGAAGATGCCCAAATGTTCCTTGCCGTGAGAAGTTTCAATTCACTGCACATTGCGAGACAGTTATTGGAACGCGGCTACTACCAGCAGGCGTTGGCACTGGTACGGATGGCCATGGAGGACCAGCTTGTCGCGGAAGACGCAGAAACCCATCCTCCAACGTTGGACGCGCTACTCGATGATAAAGGATCTATCAGCAGTGGAGACCTGACCTATGGCAAGATGGCTGAACGAATTTCACCCGAAGCCAAAAAAGCGTGGGATGAGAAATACGGAGACCTCAGCGAAAGAGCCGCACACCCACGGCGTCTAAGCCTGTTGGCACTCACAACTGTACGGCGGACTGTACGCTCTGGTGGTCACTACGATGAAGTACAAGTGAAGGCGACGTTCCTCTATCTCCTAGAGCAACTTGGGCAGGTGCTACGTACAGTTGGTCTCCTGACAGCGAATGTAGGAAGCCCTTGGGTTGAAGGAGCTAGGCCGGCACTCAGGGATATGACGGCTCTCTATCGAGAAATAGCTGAGTGGTTTGAACGGCAATTACAGGTGGATTGAACACGTACGCCTAGCATTACAACGACGGTTGGTTTGAAAGAGCTCTTGGGAATCCCTTCCCGGCTATAGTCCAGCTTGCACGACATCTTCGCGCCCGATCGTTCCCCAATACAATTTCCGCTCACGAGTCACGCTATTTGATGAAGCGTCGTTGTAATACTAGCAGCCTGTCCGAGAAACACGTTTGGTGATTTGTTGGGGGTATGATGGGGCGAGCATCAAAATGGTGGAGCCGATGATGAGCAAGACCTATCTGCCCTACGACCCAGACCAGCAGTTGCTGCTGCCAGCGGCGTTGCAAGCGTGGCTGCCATCGGACCATTTGGTCTATTTCATCTCCGACGTTGTGGAGCAGTTGGACCTGTCGGACATCATGGCCCGCTATGAGCGAGAGCGGCGTGGCGGGCCTCCCTATCATCCGAGGATGATGGTGAAGGTGCTGCTGTATGGCTACTGCGTCGGAGTGTCGTCATCGAGAAGGATTGCCACCAGGCTCCACGAGGACATTGGCTTCCGGGTGCTGGCGGCGAACAGCGCCCCTGATTTCCGCACCATCTCGGACTTTCGCAAGGATCATCTGGAGGCGCTATCGGGGTTGTTCCTGCAGGTACTGAAGTTGTGCCAGCGATGGGGGCTGGTGAAGTTGGGCCATGTGGCGTTGGACGGCACCAAGGTGAAAGCCAACGCATCGAAGCACAAGGCGATGAGTTATCGACGGATGAAGGAGAGGGAAGCGCGGTTGCAGGCGGAGGTGGCTGAGTTGCTGAAGCGAGCCCAGGAGGTTGACGACGAAGAGGATCGCCGCTACGGCAAGGACCAGCGGGGTGATGAGTTGCCGGAGGAGTTGGCCTTTCGGGAGAGTCGGTTGCAGAAGATCAGAGAAGCCATGGCCGCATTGGAAGCGGAGGCTCGGGCGGCGGCGGAACAGGCGGCAGAGGAAGGCAAGAATCATCCTGGTGTGCCCGATGACAAGACCCAGCGCAACTTCACCGATGCCGAGTCTCACATCATGCCCGGGCCGGGCGGTCGGGACTTCTTGCAGGCGTACAACTGTCAGGCGGTGGTGGACCATGAACACCAGGTGATCGTGGCGGCGCAGGCCACCGACCAGGCATCGGACAAGCAACAGGCCGTGGTGATGGTAGAGGAGGCCATCGACAACACCGGCGCGATACCCAAGGAGGTATCCGCTGACGCGGGTTACTACTCGGCCAAGGCAGTTGAGGAACTCTACGCGCTGGGTACGGACCCCTATGTTGCGCCGGAGAAAACCCGCCACGGCCGGGTGCTGCCGCCCGCGCCCAGAGGACGGATACCCAAACAGCTGTCGCCCAAGGACCGGATGCGGCGGAAGTTGCTGACGAAAAAGGGTCGGGAACGGTACGCCCTGCGGATGGCGACGGTGGAGCCGGTCTTCGGCCAGATCAAGCAGGGTCGGGGTTCCGACAATTCCTGCTGCGGGGACTGGAGAAGGTGAAAGGAGAGTGGTCGCTGATCTGCACCGGCCACAACCTGCTCAAGCTGTTCCGCTTTGGGGCCGGGTCCTCTGCAAAAGGGTTCGCCGCATAGTTGGCGAAGCCAGTTTCGGTCATCAGCAGCACACCGTTGGCCAAATATTTGGGGCATCAGCGCCGTTGACCGGAAATCATAGTCGTCGCCATCTGATCTCGGCTAATCCGCACAGCCCGTTAGCATTCCTCAGACGGGCTGCTAGCGGATCCCCGAAGGGAATTTGCTTGTGCGTTGCTCGCCGGCGACTACCCGCCGGGCTTCGTGAAAAGCCCCTTCACGGTCTATCCCCGCGCGTGCGGGGGGAACCGGTAGCGGATTATGGACGGATTCAAGGGCTCCAGTTTGTCCAAGAACCTTTCGACGTCGCGCAGTCCGCGCTCCACTCGGCCTGCGCCGTACCAGTCCTCATAGAAGTTAGTGTGTAGACCGCCAGCGAGTTCGAAAAGCCGGTCGATGTCATCATCGCCGGCTTCAGCGGCGAGAGTGGACACCACGTCGTACAGCAGCGCATGGCCGCGGTGGTGCACCCCTCGCTGTTCCGCGATGGCCTTGACCATCTGTGCCGCGGCGCCCCACCCCTTCTCGGAGGCCTGACGCACGTCGCCGCGGCGAGCTCTACCCGGCTCTGGGCCAGGAGTTCGCGGCTGTCGTTCCGCGTACTTCTGAGTTGCCATGGATTCCTCATCTTCGTCGAGCAGTCTCCCAGCGCCAGTCACTAGAGCTTTTGGCTGTCCCAGCATAAGAATAGCACGTCAGAAACCAAGAGCCGTTGCGCCGGCGCCCGACGCGATTCTGAGCACAGCGACCGCAGATCGCGCCACCCGGCAACCGCCCTATCGATTGCTCTCATCTCCAGGGTCGTCCAGATTCAACCGCTCTTCCAGTCTTTCCAGGGTCTCCCGAGTTGCTCGCAGTTCACGCGCCAGGTCCCTGCCGCGATACTGGCGCGCTTTCTTCCGTCACGCGCTCCCGCTTCGTTTCGTCCAGGCTGTTGATGATGATGGCGATGAACAGGTTGATTACCACGAACGTGCCCAGCACCACGAAACTCACGAAATACACCCAGGCGAAAGAATGGCGTTCCATCGCTGTGTCCATAACTTCAGTCCAGCCATCCAACGTGATGATATTGAACAGGGTGAGGAGGGACACCGCCAGGGTGCCCCAGTGTTCGGGATCATGCTCGTGGAAGAGATGGAACCCCATGATGGCGTAGATGTACACCACGATGCTCATCAGCATGATCACGTGGCCCACGCTGGGAATGGAGCGCACCAGCGCCGCCACAATGAGCCGCAGGTCGCGGATCGCCGAGATCAGGCGCACCACGCGCAGCAGCCGCGCCAACCGGGCAATCATCGCAAACTGGCCCGTGGCCGGTATCAGGGCAAAGACGATAACCGAAAAATCGAAGACGTTCCAACCGTCGCGGAAATAGCGCAGCATACTCGGCCAGAGCGCGAACATCTTGAGAATGGCTTCGACGATGAACACTCCCAGGGCGATCCGGTTCCCAACTCCAGCCAGGGTCCGTAGACGCCGGCAATGCTGCTGAAGTTTCCAGCCCCAACAGGACCCCGTTGCCGATGATGACGGCGATTATGAAATATTCGAACCAGTCGGAGTTGACCAGGCCTGCGGAATGTTTGACCAGTTGATTCATGAGACCGCGCCACAGCGTTGAAAGTCGCGCCCATTTTACGTCAGTTAATCCCCGTCTCCCCGACTGCGTGCGACACTGCCAACGTCATTGCGAGCGCAGCACGGCAATCCCGCCGCCACCGCAAAGACATCCCGCCCCTCTGTCATTGCGAGCGCAGCACGGCAATCCCGTCACCACCCCCAACCGACCACCCCCGCACCCACGTCGTCATCGCGAGCCCACCCACCCCACTGTCATCGCGACACTGCCAATTGTCATTGCGAGCGCAGCGTGGCAATCTCGTCCGCCGCAGCAAGGCCCGCCCGCAACGCGCGAGCAACACACCCCCGCTTGACACAACGAACATGCGTTCCTATACTATCCTATCACGTGAAATATCAGCAAACCGCCAGAGGTCCGAAGGGTCGTTCGCGGCCAACCCGTCAGAACCCAAATCGCAAACCCTGTCCCGACGACCATCGCCCGCCCGTTTCTCAGCGGCGTGGTCATCTCGGTGACACAGCGATAATCCACTCGCTGCGTGCTGCACGACCCTCGGGTCGTTCCACGGTTTCAGTGGTTAAAATCCTTGCGTAACCCCCGGCCGCGGGGCTGACACCGACCCTGAACCCTCTGGCAAAGCTGAACCAACCAACAACCGAAGCAACCAGTAGCGAGGCAGCAATCAACCGAGACAACCCTGGGAGAGACCCAATGGGAACAGTGAAGTCACCATCGGAGTCGGAGACCCACAAGGACGGCGGTTCGAAGAACTCGAGGTCGTCGTGGACACGAGCTCACCTACACGGCATTGCCGGAGCAATGCTTAGGAGGCTCGGCGTGCCAATCCAAAGGTCACTCCCCTCCGAGACGGCCGACGGCAGGATCGTCCCGGTCGACGTCGGCCAAACCAACATCAGGCTGGAGGAGTTGGAGTTCCAAACTCCGGTCATATTTGCGGAAGAACACGAGCCCAGCCTCTTGGGCGTAGTATCCCTCGAACAAGCCGCCCTTGCCGTCGACCCTCTCGCGGGAAGACTGATACCTACCAATCTCTACGGCTCTAATCGACGAAGCGAAAGTCCGGATCTGCCGTAACCGGCCATGTGTCCCCAATAGCAAAGCCGGGGGCAGAACAATTTTTGTGCAAACGCCCCACCAAACCCCCATAGGAGCCGGCGCCCTTGCACGCAGCCCACCACCTGGACCGCAGTCAACTCTACCTCGGCTACATCACCGGTGACGTCCGGGCCGGCGACTACCACCGGGCCGCCCGCGCCATTCACCGCGCGGCCAGCCATGTCGCCACCGCCGCCGTCCACACCCACCAGGACAGCTACAGCTGGCGCCGTATGACCACCGTGCTGGGCGGCTTCGTGCGCGGCTGCCAGATCCGACTATCGACACCTGCGCACCTTCCGGGAGGTGTACCGCCTGCCCGCGACGCTTGCCGAGGCCAACGGCGATGAAACCGCCATCCGCGCCCTGTTGCGCCGCGCCACGCCGTCGCGTCGAGCGTCTGCGTCGGGCCGTGGCGCTGGCCATCGCCCTGGATCCCAACCCGCTCAGCCTCGCGGACGTCCGGGCCCTCCGGGCAGCCGGCAAGCTCCCCTCCGGCGCGAGCCTCAGCCCCCACCCATGACCACCATGGGCCAGTACCGTCGCGCCCTCGGCCTCCACGTCCCCAGCGGAACCGAGGACCACCCCATCCACTCCCCTTGCTGCCCCATCCGTTGACCCCCATCCACCCCTGTCATCGCCAGCGACCCCCTGTCATCGCGAGCGTAGCGCGGCGATCCGTCGCCGAAACGCGCTCCGTTCCCGCGAATCCGCTGAAAGGCCCTCCCTTGTCACCTCGAAAACTACGCGACACGGCAACCTCTCCGCCGGCACCGCCTTCAACCGTCGCCGCCACAACCGCTGGCGCGTCATACGCGACCCCGACCGTCGCCGGAGCATGGCCAATCAGAGCATGGCCAATCAAAGTATGGCCAATCGGAGCATGCCCCACCGGCCGGTTCGCCATCCCGACCACAGGAACACGATGAAGATCAGCAACGCCATGGCGACAACCACCGCCAGCGCCATACAACCGAACCGCGCCATCCCTAGGCCGGAATAACCGGTAGCCTGACCCTCGACGGATACTGCCCATTGTGCATGATGGTCTGCAACGCTGGCACGCATCTGTGGCCGACCACGGGTCACCGCCCGTGTTGAAGTTCCGGTCGAACCTCGGGAAGTTGCTGCTGCTGATCTCCAATCGGAGCCGGTGCCCCGCCTTGAACACGTTGCTCGTCGCCACCAGGTCTATCGTGTACTCCTCAACCGCGCCCGGCGTCACCGGCACCGCCGCGTCCGTTCCTTTCCGGTACCGGCCTCGCATGATGCCGTCCACCAGGCTCCGCGCCGCGCCGCACGGTTCCACGTCCACCAGCTTCGCGGTGAAGTCCGTATCCGCCCCGCTGGTCGCCGCAAACAGCGTCACCGTCAGCGGGCCGGTTACCTCCAGTCCGACGACAGCGGCGGCGTGGTGTAGCACAACACGTCGTTCCGCGCCTCGATGTCCTGCTGGTCGTAGGCGCCACCCGGCACGAACGATGCCCCGCAGCACAGGGCCCCGCCCCGCGTTGGCGCCGGATTCCGCGGGTCGTACAGAAACACATCCGCCGCCTCGTCCTCCGGCGCGTCGACCGACAGCCCGCCGTCTCCCGACGCCGTGTTGGCCTTGCCCTCGCTGTGCAGGTAGTAGTCGGTGTACTGCGTCCGCGCCAGCGGCCACTCCTGCTCGCTGCGCCACTCGTTCGCGCCCATCACGAAGATCCGCACCGGTGCGTCGCTGTTGGCCCCGTTCTCCTCGCCCTTCAGCCAGTGGTCGAACCACCGCAGCTGGACCCCGTCCGTGTCGATGGCCCCTCCGGCCGCGCCCAAACCGAAGAAGAACTCGCCGGAGGTCTCGCCGAACGGCCCGTGATGCCACGGACCCACGATCAGCCGCTGCCCATCCCTCGTCGTGGCGTTCTCCGCCTGCTTCCGCATCCCCACGAAGTTTCGCAGCGTGCCCAGCAGGAAGATGTCGTGCCAGCCGCCCATGTGCAGCGCCGGCGTGGTGATGTGCGGATAGTGGTCCTCGATCCGCCAACGCTTCCAGTATTCGTCGCTGCTTGAGTGCCGGATCCAGTCGTAGAAGTACCCCGCCAGCGGCTCCTTCAGGTGCGGCATTTCCACGATGGGCTGGTGCCGGAACGCGCAATCCAGCTCGTTGAACGCCGCCAGCAGGCCTTCCCGGGTTCCGTCCGGCACGTCGTGGCGGCTGCTGATCGCGCCCATGTTCGCCATGGTCAGCTGCCGCATCGTCCACGACAGCGCGAAGCCCCAGGCCAGGCGCGCCGCCCTGGTACGTCCAGCCTTCGTAGTAGTCCGACGCCGTGATCCCGGGCGAGATGCACGTCAGCGCCGGCGGGTTGGTGATGGCGCACAGCCACTGCGTCGCCCCCACGTACGACCGGCCGAACATCCCGACTTTGCCCGTGCTCCACGGCTGCTCCGCGCACCAGGCCACCGTGTCATACCCGTCGTTCGGCTCGTCCAGGAATGGGTAGAACTCGCCCTCCGACGCATACCGGCCCCGCGTGTCCTGGATCACCACCGCGTACCCGTGGGAGGCCGCCCGCAGCACGTCCAAGCCGCCACCCACTCCTTGGAACTTGTCGTATGGCGTCCTCTGCAGCAGCACCGGCAGCGGATCCGCCACGTCCGGGCGGTACACGTCGGCATACAGCGTGACGCCGTCCCGCATCCTGACCGGGCACGCCGAATTCGCTGCGGAGCGCGGTATGAGGCCCATCAATTCTGCTGGCATAAACGTCACCTCCCGTTTTGGCGACATTATACACAGCCCAACCGCACACCCACCCATCCGCCATCGCGGACACCCCAACTGTCATTGCGAGCGCAGCGCGGCAATCCCGTCGCCGTAGCAGCCGGCCTCGTCAGGGCCCGGCATCGAACGATGAACCAGCGGGCATTCCCGCCCCTACTGCGTCCTGAACTGCGGCGCCATCAACCCGACCTGCAGCGAAGGCGGCAGGTTGTTCCGCGTCACCTGCATCCGGCCCTGGGCCTGCAGGCTCCCCTCGGCCACGCCCATCTCCCGCAGGAACGCCTCCGGCCCTTCCGGCTCCACCGCCGAGGGCTCCCGCTCCGCCCGGTAGTGCATGGGGATCAGCCACTTCGCGTCCAGTTGCTGCGCCGTCTGGTTGATGGCCCGGTACGACAGCAGGTTGTGGTCCGACCCGCCCGCCGGCGCCAGTACCACCTCCGCCGGCCCGATCAGGTCGATCTGTTGCGCCGTCAGCGGCTGCGTGATGTTCCCCAGGTGACACACGTTGATACCGTCCAGGGCAATGGCGAACGCCACGTTTCGCTTTCTGCGCGGCGTCCCCTCGGGCAGCGGGGTCATCACCGCCCGGATGGTGATCCCTTGAAACTCGTACTCGCCGGGCGTGTCGAACACCCGTCGCTGGCCGCCAATCTCGCCCGCGCTGTTGTGCATCAGGTCGTCGTGGCTCACCGTAACCCCTACCGCGTCCACCGTCTGCCGGGGGTCCATCTGCACCCCCAAACCGCCCACGCCGGAGGCATACGGGTCGGTGATGATCGACAGCCCCGCGCTTGTCGAACGCAGCCTGAAGCAGGCATGGCCCAGCCAGTAAATGTCCATCGATTTCTACGCCTACTCGGCGCCCGTATCGGGTTTCGCCGCGAACCGGTCCAGCAGCGCCCATCCGGACGGCACCGCCAGGCTCGCCGCCATGAGCTTCACCAGGTCACCGGCGATGAATGGCAACAGCCCGCACTGCCACACATCCGCGCAGGCCCAGGCCTCCGCCACGTTCGCCGGCAGGAACAGGTTGAGTTGGATCAGCCCTGGCACGTAAAGCGCCGCATTGCCCAGCAGCATGGCGGCCAGGATCCACGGCCGCCGGTTCCATCCTCGTTGGCACAGCCAGCCCACCAACGCCGCCGCGGGTATGAACCCGACGATGTATCCGCCCGACGACAGCATCCAGAACCAGCCCGACGCGCCTCCCGCGAAGAACGGCAGAAACGACCCCTCCACGGCGTAGAGCGCCAACGCCAGCCCGCCGCGCCAGCCCCCCAGCATCGCGCCCACCAGCAGCACGGCGAACGTCTGCCCCGTGATCGGTACCGGGGTGAACCCCAGCGGTATCTTGATCTGCGCGAAAAGCGCCACCACCAGGCTGCCGGCAACTACCAGCGCTATGTCCCTGGCGATACGGCGCGCGCCAGCCGACTCGGGCAGGATCAGGTCCGCCAGCGTGCCCGGCAGACGCGGGGATGGTATGGGAACTGCGGTTCGCGTTTGCATTGCCCCAATATCCTACCACTCGCCCCACGCGCGTCAAACCGAACGGTTTGAACCGCCTCGATCCATTTTGCCGCGCCCGCGACTGTATCAAGAGTCTTGTGCCGTTGTCGCAGATGCCGGCGCGTCCGCGAGCTATGTGTCCGGCCGGGTGATCGCATTCCAACTGTGATTGCCCTGGTGTGTCCGGCGTTAGTGGTACACCATGTGAAATGTCCGGCATATAATTGCGGTTGTTCTCAGGGTCGTTAGGTTTTCCTGAACGTCATGCCCTGAAACGTGAATGTTATTGTGCGCGAAGCGTGGCAATCTCGTCGCCCCAGCGCGAGCTCTCGCTAGCAGCGGCTGCATCGCCTCGTTGCTGCCGTGCCTTCTTCCATTCCCGACGGCGACAATCGAATAACCCTGGTTGTTCCACACCCTGACTGAGACATATAAAAGGCGATGAAACGATGAGATTTCTGATCAATCGATGGCGTCAAATCGGCACACGTCCTCTACTTGGCGCTCGTCTTCGCGGTGATTCTCACCCTCCTGTCCAGTGCCGTCGGCATCTACTATTTTGAGCGCAGCGGCGACCTCAGTTACCGGATCCGTTCCGAGTCCGCCCCTGCCGTCGACGCCGCCTGGGCCGCGGCGCTGTCCGCCGAGAAACTGCGGTCATACGGCCGCGAAGTTATCGCCGGTTCGGGCTCCGCCGCTCCCGCTCCCGCCCCGGCCCAGGCGGATGTGGGAGACATCCTGACCGAATTGGATGCGTCGCTGAGCCGGTTGGTTGCGCTGAAGGACCTGGAATCCCTGGCCCTGGCCGTCCAGGACTCCGCGTATGAAATGGCTGGCATTTCCGATGCCTGGCGGGCGGCGACCAGGCATCGGAAATGCCAGCCCTGGTGGCCGAGTTCGATCAAAGTAGCAACGCTCTTGATGATATCGTCGGCCTCCTCGTGGACGGAGCCGGCCAGTACGCCGACGCAAACCTCGCCTCAACCGTGGGCAGCTTCGACCAGGGACGAGTATTGCTGGCAACCATCTGCGTGATCAGCGTGGTGGCCGCCACCCTGACGGCGTGGGTGTGGGTGGGCAACGGTGTCTTGCGCCGCCTCTCCCGCGTGTCGGACCGGATGCGCAGCATGGCCCAGGGAGACTTGGAGGCCCCGGTGCCCGAGGTCGGTCGCGACGAGATCGGCGAACTTGCCCGCGCCCTCGAGGTCTTCCGGCAGCACGCCCTCGAGGTGCAGCGCCTCAACCTGGTGGAGCGGCTCTACGAAGAGTTGCGGGAGGCGAACGACGAGCTCCAGACCATGCAGGCGCGGTTGGTGGCGCAGGAGAAATTGGCCGCGCTTGGCGAATTGGTCTCGGGCGTAGCCCACGAGATCAGCAACCCGCTGAACTTCGTGACGAACTTCAGCCAGGGAGCCACGGAACTCCACGGTGAACTCACGGCAATGTTGGATACCTACCGCGACGGTATGAAGTCTGAGGATGTCGCCTTGCTGGATGACATCACCAATGAAATGAGCGATAGCCTGGGTCGGGTGATCACCAATGGAGGCCGGGCCCTCGCCATCGTCGAACGGATGCAGGGCTTGAGTGTCGACACCAGGGCCCCCCAGACAGGCGAACCTGAACGCGGAGTTGCAGGACGCCGTCGTGTCAGCCTGCGAGGGTTACGATGTTGCTCCCGCGTTCGACCTCGACGACAACATCGGCTCGATGCCGATCGTCGTCGAAGAGTTCAGGGAATCGGTGGGCAATCTGGTCACCAACGCCTGCTACGCGATGAACCTGAAGAAGGCGGAGTTGGGTGACGATTTTGAGCCCGCCTTGTCGGTATCGAGCCGCCTGGTGGACGATGTGGTCGAAATCAAGGTGAGGGACAACGGGCCAGGTATCGCCGATGACCTGCGGGACCGCATCTTCACCACCCAGGAGGGCGTGATGGGCGCCGGCCTTGGCCTGACCATCGCAGCCGATGCGGCGCGTCGGACCGGCGGAGACCTGACGGTCAATACGGTGTACGGCGACTACGCCGAATTCCTGATGACAGTGCCGGTACACGAAACCACGGCAGTGGACGTCAACGATCCGGATGACGATGATGACGATGCCTGGTGTTAGGTTTCTTTTCACGCCACTGGGCGAATGTCGGAGCGGTCTGGGCGCGTCACCTCCAGTCATGTCCGGAACCGGCGTGCAGCGCTAGGTCCGCCCGCAGCGGCCAGGCCCGTTCCGCCATCACGTTGAGCGTGTTGTCCCGGCGAGAAATCTCGCCTTCAATGACGACCAGCGGCCGTCGCAACACGTGCTTGAGCGTCTCCCAGCGTTGCTCCCAAACGGCCACCGGTATCAACCCGAATTCGTCCTCCAGGGTGAGGAACACCGCCCTCGCCAGGGGGCGCTGCCGCCTGACTACCCTGCCCGCCACTCGGACCACGTCACCTTCGCAGCAACTCTGCAGGGTATCGCTGCTATGCACTCCTCTCAGTTCATGGCGCGCAGTTCCATGATGTGACCATCCGGGCAGAGCCCCATCATGTCGTATTCGTCCAGCATTATCGCCGACCGGTCCTTCGCAACCACCCGCTGCCGGCGCCTCGGCTACCGCCATCGGCAACGCCAACTGGCCGCGGCGCGCGTCCGGCACGTAGCCGGCTCCTATCTGCCCACAGCGCGCGTCCCCCGGTCGGTGCAATCCGTCAGGCGGTCCATTGCGCCGGCGCGCGCCAGGTTCTCCAATGCCTGTGCGCGGCAGGCCCGAGCGCGCCAACACGTCCGCCAGGCTTCCGAATTCGTCCGGCGTCACGCTGCGTGCAGCAGGATCTCTCCCAGGCGCCGGTCCACGCCCTTCACAAAGGTCAGCCCCAGCCGCAGCGTGCGCGCTCGCCTTCAGCAGTGCTCAGCAGCTGGGAACGATTGATGTCGGGATGGGGCCACCCGCCAGGTTGATCCGGCGAGCGTCCTGTTTCAGCGTGTCCAGGTCCCAGAACCCCATGGGCTGCTCGTTGAAGAGCCCGACGTAGAACTCCAGCGGGGTAATGACGGCGCAGCCAGGCCATCTGATAGGCGGTGAAAGCGAAAGCCAGCGCATGGCCCTCGGGAAACATGTAGTGGGGATTGAACTTCCCGAAAATCGCACTCGGCCGCCTTTTTCGGGTACGTCGCGCTCACGCGCACCCTGCAGGACCGTTGCCGATACTCCGCCACCAGGGCGCTGCCGTTGCGGCGTCCAAAACGCGCGTCGCATCCGGTCCGCGTCAGCGGCGGTGAAAACGCCCCACGTCCATGCCCAGCTGCACCACCTGGTCCTGAACATTATCACGACGCCCAACGACCGCTCCAGGCCGCTCGCTCCAGGGGATGAGCATAGTCCCAGGCGAACCCCTTGCGCCGGCGCAGGAACTCCGCCACGCCGTCATGCGCTCCTACGCCAGGGCGTACCGCGGCGATTCCAAAGCCAGTTCGTAGATGTCCTCCGGATGCATCCGCACGATGGTCTGCATCTGCGCCGCCGACTCCACCTGGAACACTCCCACCGTGTCGCCCCGCCCCAGGTCGTCGAAAACATCTTTCTCCCGGTAGTCGATCCGACTCAGGTCCGGCTCAACGCCGGTGCGGTTCCGGACCAGCCGTACCGCCTGCTGCAATTGGGACTAGAGCTCCCAGCGCCAACAGATCAATCTTCACCATGCCGGCGTCATCCACGCTCTCCTTGTCCCACTGCCCGATATAGCGTCCCGCTATGGCGGCCGGCTGCACCGGCATAAAGTCCGTGAGGGCGGTGGAGCTCAGCAGCATTCCTCCCGGGTGCTGTGCCACACCCTTGGGAAAACCCTGGAGGCTGTCAGCCAGCGCGAAAAGACGGTCCCAACCCGGTCGTTTCACCAGTTCCGCGTAGCCCGGCAGCTGTGGGGCAGTTCCCATACGGAGTTGGAATCCACCCGTCGGGCCAGCGCGCCCACCTCATCAGGCGGCAATCCCAGGGCTTTCCCCAGGCCCCGTATCACTCCTCGCGCTTTGTACGTGGGGAACATTCCCGTCAACACGGCATGGTCCCAACCCCACTCCTCGATAATTCTCAGTATGAGACGCTCACGTATATCCCGGGGAAAGTCCAGGTCAATATCCGGCATCGATGTGCTCTCGGACGACAGGAAACGGTCCAGGGCCAGGCCGTAATCCAGCGGGTCAACGTGTGACAGCCCGATCAGATACCCCACCAGCATTGACACCGAGGAGCCACGTCCTCGTCCTGGAGGGAGCCACTCCAGCGGCGTTTCCTGGTGTCCCCATCCCAGTTCCAGCATGACTTCGCGCGCCAGTTCCACCACTCGGTGGTAGACCAGGAAGAACCCGGCCAAACCATGCTTCCGGATAAGCTCGAATTCTTCATCCAGGCGTTCTCTTACCCGTCGATCAACACCGCCATAGCGTCGCGCGGCCGACTCCTCGCAGAGCCGCTCCAGCCATGACTGAGCGTCATGGCCCGGTGGCGTGGGCACATCCGGGAAACGGTAGCTGCTGGTCACAAAATCCAGCGCGCTGAAATTGGAACACCGCTCTGCCAGGACAAGCGTGTTGGTAAGTGACTCGGGATATTTGCGGAGTCGCTGTTCCATCACGTCTCTTGTCTGTAGGTCGTAGTTACAATTCACCTTGAGACTATTGCGTATCTCGCTTAGAGAAGAGTTCATACGCATGGCCGTAAGTGAGTCATGCAGCCGCGCGCGGGATGTATCGTGATACCAGGGAGCGTTGGTCGCAACGCAGCCCAATCTGCACCGCTCCGCCAACTGTGACATGCGCTCGTTGCGGACGGTATCGCCATGCGCCAGGTGCTGCTGCAGCCCCAGAAATACCGACCCGGCGCCGAACCAGCCGGCGTACTGCTTTGCCCGTCCCTCGGCCATGCTCCAATGTCCGGCGGAAATGTCCGCCGCCAGGAGGCCATCCGGATCCCCCAGCAGCGCGATAAGACCCTCAGCGTGAGGCTCCAGGAAGCGGACGTCCAGAACGGGCGTGGTTCTCCCGCCCGTCACATACGCCAGCGATATGAGTCGACACAGGTTGGAGTAACCCGCGCCATTCTCTGCGATAAAGGTCACCGGGCCCATCCGGTCACCTTCCCGAACCGTCAGGTCGGCGCCCAGTACGGCCCCTATGCCGGCAGAGCGACACTCCTGCACGAAATCCAGCGCGCCGCATAAATTACTGACGTCCGTCAGGCCCAGGGTTGGATAGCCGTAATAACCGGCCCGGTCCACCAGTTCGGCCGGAGACGACGCGCCGGCGCCGAAGGAATACCAGGAGTGGGCACACAGCTCAACGAAGCCGGCGGACAAGTCAGTAACCCTGCCGATACCACCCGCCGGTGGCGAGGTTGCGGTATACCGTGATCAACTTGCCCCCATCCGTCACCAGGCGCCAGTACCGCCGGCGCGCCGGTTCCGGCATCCACCACTCGGTATCCACGTCCCATAGATCAATCACTTTCCGGACTGAATGCGACCCTACTGCTCGGGGCACGCTGTGGACCTCGGAAACGGCTACGGCAGCGACACGACCGAGCGGCAGCAGTTCGGAACCCAGCGCCCAGCGTCGCTCCGGCAAGGGAGATCCCAACGCCAGGGCAACCGGACGGTTAACCCCATCGATTATCGGGACAGCCACGCCCATCGGCACGGCCACGCCCCGTCGTTCCTCCAGCCACAGACCCATTTGCCGGCCGGACAACCGGACCAGGCCGGACACCGTGAGCGACAGGTCAGTCAACGCTGCGCCCGGCCAGCGACCTTGGCCGCGACTGTTCTGGGCATTTACAACCCGGCCAGAACTGCCGAAGCCAGGCTCTCCGACGAACCGGCAGGAGCGCGCAGCTGCCGGTCAAATGCCAAATGCCATTTGGCGAAAGCTCACCGTCGATTGATATTTCCGTTATCCCCTTCCCCCGCAGATTGGGAGTGTTCCAAATACGTTCGGACAACAGGCGAACGCCAGCTTCCCAACCGGAAATCGTATCTACCGAAATGGAAACTCCATGCGTTCGTGAAGCGCCTCTGGCAGAGCCGCCGGAACCACCGGGTCGTCATCAATTCCTTGGGCCAGCTTCCAGGTTCGGTATCCAACCACACCACCCAGAAAATCCGCCAGAGTGTGTGACGGCATTGCTGCCACGTTACCCATCGTACGATACCAAAACCACGCAAACGCGCCACGATATCGGGGTCCAGCGGAAGCCATGACACTGGCCAAGGTGCCAGCCACTGGGCAACGTTTCCAGGGGCTGTAAACCCCTCACCAACCTCAGCGCTGGCCGCCGCGCAGTATGAAGGGAACTTGCCTGAAGCCAATCCCAGCCGGGGTTGCAGACCGGCATCAATCGCAGACAGTATCGCCAGCTCCAGACCGGATGTTCCGCCGTACATGGACGCCATCCCCGGTCAGGTCCAGATAGAAACGACCGTAACCGTCCGGCTCTACTCGATCTACAACCTGAAACAGCGAGTGCATCAGATCGTCGTTGAACGACGACAGATACTGGTCATCTACGGCTAAAACCACCGCGTCGGCACACCGGGACAACGCCTCGGTCAACATCTGTCCGGCTCGAACGCCTCTGGCTGCTGGTGAGGCGTCCACCACCAGACGACGGCCGGAGTGTCCGGTGGCCACAACCACTGCGCGACCAACCAGGTCAGGCCGTCGCGCCAGTTCGGCCTTTACGGGAAAGTGCGTAACCAGCAAGCATCCGACTGCGGCATCCATGCGCCATAAGATAACAGCACGCACGTTCTTATCCGCATGCCGAAATGTCATCAAAAGCTACAGGCTGTCCCGTCATGGGCCCATGCCCATGGACATGTCGCGAATGCGAGATGGGTGAAAGCGTGGGACCCGGTCAGGCGATCGCAGTCCCCCGCCCAATCCGGCTGGGGTTAGCTCGTTTCACTCCCGGAGCAATTGGGGAATGAAGAGCGCTTTGACTTGCTGGGATTGCGGAGGTTGCCCAGACTGCTCGGAGTGGACGACTCCGATATACGACGGCGGGCTGGGCGCCGTTCCCGCTGCCACGCCTATAGATGGCAACGATGAGATTGCCTCCAATAACGACCACTACGTAGACGAATTGGATAGCGCGACCCCAGATAAATCCGAGATGCAATCTTTCCGCCAGCTCGTCTCGGGTGTATCCCAGCGCAGCGAAATCGATATCCCAGAATACAGGAGGTTATGGTCCGGTTGGGGCAGCGAACTGGGTGCCAAGTAGAGCGTCAGAATCGCCGCTCCCCCAAGCGCGACAGAACGATGGTCGCCGTCACCACTGCCCAAAGCAGGAAAATCTCAGGTCGCGTTCCCTCGGCGCGACCAACGGTCCCGCAATACCAAAGGGTGATAAACACGATTCCCAAAACGGGTAGAACGACCGTAAGGTGCAGCCCAGGATCCAACGTTGGAGATGACCATGATGCAGCAATAAACGAAAACCACGGCAGGAGTGCAACCCATGCCGCTCTCTGCGGAGCTCTTCTCTCATTGACATCCCTGGAGTACTGCCATTTCCACAACAAGTCGAACATCAGACCGGCGATTAGCGCCATAGCCAGATTTACCATCAGGGTCTAGCAGCAAGGTCATCTGGCGTGCCCGCAAAATCGCGATGGTGTAGAACCATGTTGTCATGGCGAATAGAGCATCTGTCGCAAGGGGGTACTCAGGAGAAAGCAACAGGACACGAAGAAGAATTCGCGTTTAGCTGATCGCCCCTTGCGCATGCCGGAGAAAGCTTGGTCAGCACCGCCCCATAACGACACGCGATGAAAAGGTCCATTATCCAGTCCGCGGTCCACCAGGACGACCACGCATACCCGCCACCAGCACCACAGTCCCGGCAACACGAAACGAGAGCGGCAGAAACGCGTTGCACCGGACAAATTGATGAAGCGACCACTCTGTCTCGCGGTCGTGGGGCTGCGACGACAGATCTTCGATAGGCCATCTTCGAGTCGTCGGCATGTCAACGCCTGAACTACCCGAAGGGGACGCTCGGTGAAGGACGTCGGGCCGGTCATGGCCATCAAACCCGCTAGGGTTATCAGCCCTTCGACTTCCACGGAGGACAGTTCAGGCTTTGCCAAACGCTATCAAGCGTTGCCTGGTTGGACGCGT